AATTTTTTCCATTGAAATTCCACAAGATGTGATTTCCCCCTTCCGTACGTGCTACAGTCGACTAAATTTCAATTAAACAAATGAAAAACAAAAAGCATTCGTACAGCAGAAAATAAAATTCACCCCGTCGACTTAATGGACACCCCAGCATTGTAATAAAAACTTGGTTAATAAAAAAAAACATCCCAGCATTGCGTGTTGCGCCCTCCCTCTCTTGGGGTGCAGTACTACGATGCCGCAGGGGTCACTCAAACCCCCAGAACTGAGCCTCTACTTTAGTCAGTCCTCTTTGGCGGAAAGCAAAGAGGATTCGGCGGGGTGAATTTTATTTTCTGCGGCATAAATGCTTTTTGTCTTTTATTTATTTAACTGATATTTAATCGACTGTAGAACGAGCGGAAGAGGAAAGCCACATCTTGTGGAACTTTAAATGAAAAAAATTATTCTGAAAATTCAAAATTACAACTGTTTTCCCGCCGGCGGGGAATTTCAAGGGTGGGGGAAGTGCACAGAAAAAGGCGCGTGTCAGACAAAGCGAGCAATTGCACATTTCGCTCTAAACAAAATGGCTGACATGGAGCAACGCAGTAAAGAAAGTTCAGTTGTGAGTCAAAAAGAAACAATGGTTAAACAGGAAAAAAGAGATAATGTATTTACGAATGGAGGTAAAGGCTCTGGGGATGATGCGGACAGTGTTGAGGAAATGCCACTGGACATTGGAGAACATTATTTGGTCCGAAGATCTGACGACTCCTGGCGTAAGTTCGTTTCGATTATTATCGTACGCCGACTGCCAAACGATTCGTCACAGCGATTACGAGATCGGGTATTTTCGACGATCCGAATTAACATTTGAATCAACCACACTAGGAGAATAATTGTTTCTGCATAATATGCATTTATTTAACAGAAAAATACATGTTTCGAGTATTCACATTTGTTGACACGGTTTTTTTATTTAATCAGGAGATTTTCAGGTGATTGTCATCAGATTTTAATTTTCTGTCATTGCCACATTACCTCATATTTCAGATCCAGCTGAGATTATTCAGACACGATTTAATGATGGAGAAGGACATTACGAGTATTATGTTCACTATGAGGGGTACAACAGGAGACTAGACGAGTGGGTACCGAGGGATAGAATTATGTCCAGCAGATTTGACATGTCTGACACGAGCTGGAAGACAAGTGAAAATGCTCCAGCTGGTGATCTCCTGGCTGATTCCTCAGACAGAAAAATCACAAGGAATCAAAAAAGAAGGCACGATGAAATCAATCACATTCAGAAGGTAAGGATTCATTCTCTCTTACACAAGAATTTATTTCAATTATTTAATTATTATCGATGTGAAAAAAACAAATTTTTCCCCCGTTCATAGACTTATGCAGAAATGGATCCAACAACAGCTGCTCTGGAGAAGGAACACGAAGCAATAACTAAAGTAAAATACATCGATAAAATTCAAATTGGTACGTGGGGAAGTAATGACTACACGAAGATAAATTTTTCGAGAGAATTTTTCCATTTTCATTGACTAGTTCTAGTTAAATAAATGAGGCTCACTATTTCAAAAGTTTATCCGCAGGACGATACGAAATCGACACGTGGTACTTCAGTCCTTACCCCGAGGAATATGGAAAACAGCCGAAACTGTGGATCTGTGAATATTGCCTGAAGTACATGAGATTGGAGAAAACTTATCGATATCACATGGTAGATTCCTCGAATTAAATGATCAAAAAAAAATCCCATGCACTTTTAATCTGAAATCATTTTCAATTTTCAGAGTGAATGCACTCACAGACAACCGGTAGGAAAAGAAATATATAGGAAGGGTACATTGAGTATTTGGGAAGTGGATGGAAGAGAGCACAAGATATACTGTCAAAATTTGTGCCTCCTTGCCAAGCTATTTCTAGACCACAAAACTCTGTACTTCGATGTGGAGCCATTTTTATTTTACATTCTCTGTGAAGTTGACAAACATGGAGCACATCTCGTTGGATATTTTTCCAAGGAAAAAGAATCCCCAGATGGCAATAATGTTGCCTGCATCCTCACGTTGCCACCGTTTCAACGACAGGGGTACGGAAAATTACTCATTGCTTTCAGTTATGAATTGAGTAGGATTGAACAGGCTGTGGGAAGCCCGGAAAAACCACTCAGCGATCTGGGGAAACTCTCGTACAGGAGTTACTGGAGCTGGATTCTTCTGGAGATTCTCAGGGATTTCAGGGGAACACTCAGCATCAAAGATTTAAGGTATTTTTTAATTTCCTGCTATTCATGTCCTGACAATAAAAAATGGAATAATAACCAGAAATCTATCAATTGCCATTTATCCTTAAACCTTTCAGCCAAATGACTTCCATCTCCCAGACCGATATAATATCGACTCTACAGAGTATGAACATGGTGAAATACTGGAAGGGACAGCACGTTATATGTGTGACTCCAAAATTGGTGGAGGAGCACATAAAAAGTAGTCAATACAAGAGACCACGTCTTGCAGTGGACAGTGCAGCTCTCCGATGGGGTGCACCACCTCGTAAAAATGTGAAACCGGGAAAAAAATGATAAATCCTGTTAAAGCCAGAGGTGCATAACAAATTCACAAAATCAAGTCAGACTAATTACGATTGTTTCGCTTAATGTAATCGTGCTAGTTCTCCCTTGCGTCGATGAAGGCTAAACTCCAGATATTCGTGGCTTCTGACAAATCACCAGTGTGAAGATAAAATCAATTATCCTACATTGATCAGATTTACATTATCCAATTAATAAATCATGATCATTGCCAACAATGTCGTAAAACACAAGTGAAGAATAAAAACGAAATAAACCTCATAGGGATGAAATAAACTAAGTAATTCCAGTGTTGAGATAAGGAATGAATAAAAATGATTCTTCTCGTTGAATAAAAGTATTTCATCCACAGAAAATTGTGTCACAAGAATTCAAACCTTAATATATCCATCAAAGACCAGCTCCGAGTTTAATCGGAGTAGCCTGACGAATATCGATTATTTTTCACTTTTCAGGATCTCAGAATAAGTGAATATTTTTTAATCGATTTTTGTCGGCAACCAACAATACGTTGAACGATGGCGCCAAAGGAACCGCAATCATATCTTTTCCTCGGAAAACGAAGGTAAAGCATTCTGTAAAAAAAAAAGACAAATTTCCGTTGTCCAATGAGAAAATCCGACGCAACCGATAGTAGCCGAGTAGCAACAGCCCCTCGACCAATCCCGTGACAGAACGACAAAGGGAAACAGAACAAGAGCACTCTTTCGGGCCCCTGACGAATGCTCACGAACACGGTAACACCGTCTGTTCTCCCAGTTGACAATACATTTGTGGAATCTGTTTTTCCCCAATCTCGAGTGATTTTTCATCAAACAAGTTGACCCTGTCTGCATGGATCAATCCCAATGATAGTGTCACGTGAATATCATCAAGTTAAAGCCCGGTGCATTAAAAAATAACGTCGCTGTCGAGGTGATCACAGAATCAGGATGAGTTTCCTATTGTACGTGATTTTTTTTTTCTCTCCAAATGGAGTTTTCACAATATTTTTCGTACTCGACGCCCCCGCAATCGTCTCATATCAGTGATAATTTGTTTTACGAGACAGTGGATAATGTGTCACTGGCCTCAAGTACTTTGGAGTCAGCAATTCAATCGATTGTTGAACCGGTCGTTTTGCTAATTGACAGCACCTAGACGTCCATCACCCCTCCCCTACTCTTATCAGACAATTCAGGTTCTTGACCTGTGGAAATTTTTCCTCGGGTCCAGAACTTGTGGCTTTTTTTGTTTTGACACTTACGAAATCCAAATCATTGATATTATTTCTTGCCATTTGTTAAGTGCGATATTTCATGTCTTTATACCCTCGATCACGTCATGAGGACCGATTTAGTCTCGTGTTATGAGTCACCTGTCAATGCACTTGTTCAGTATAGAATTGATTCTGAAATTCGCATGCCTTGTCTTATCTTTGTTATTGTATGGTAATGAATTGGGTTACAGTGGGAGCCGGTCTTCCAAAACATTCAAGCCAAAAAAGAATATTCCAGAGGGAACGCATCAGTATGACTTGATGAAACATGCTGCTGCTACCCTGGGATCTGGAAATTTACGACTTGCTGTGATGCTACCTGAGGGGGAAGATCTCAATGAATGGGTGGCTGTTAACAGTGAGTTTTTTATTTATTGTCAATTGATAAAAAATTATTGCAATGAAAAAATAAAGTACAGTTCAAAAGAAAATATTCCATTCGATCATATGACATATCAAGTATTTATTGAAAATGTTGAGAATTCGTACAGTAAAAAAAATACGGAGGGAATTTGGAAAGGAATTAAGAGAGTTCTTGTGAATAATTTTTAGCTGTTGACTTCTTTAATCAAATCAACATGCTGTACGGTACTATAACGGAATTCTGCACGGAGGAGAGTTGTTCGATAATGTCAGCTGGACCCAAGTATGAATATCACTGGGCAGACGGTCACACGGTGAAAAAACCGATAAAATGTTCGGCACCTAAATACATCGATTATCTGATGACTTGGGTGCAGGATCAGTTGGACGACGAAACTCTCTTTCCCTCGAAGATAGGTCAGTAATTTAAATAAATTTATTATATCTCAGATTTACAGATATTCTTCTTAAACTGCTTGACTAACTGTTGAATTTATTGCAGGAGTTCCATTCCCAAAAAACTTCCTCTCCATCGCAAAAACCATTCTCAAACGATTATTCCGAGTCTATGCACACATATATCACCAGCATTTTAGTGAGGTTGTCCAGCTGGGGGAGGAGGCACACCTCAACACATCCTTTAAACACTTCATATTCTTTGTCCAGGTATTGCCCTGTTCTCTCACATATTCTCTATTAATTGATATGTCTGTAATTTTTTTTGGAACATAATCATTTTTTTGCAGGAATTTAACTTAATTGAGAGACGAGAATTGGCACCACTCCAAGAGTTGATTGAGAAGCTAACGGCTAAGGATGCACGATGAATAAACCACTGGTAACACGAGCAAAGTTAAACATAAGGAAATTCCTCCAAAGAATCTCAATCGTTATTACTCTCTTTCGTTTCCCAAAACACTCGTAAATTGAGTGCTTAATTAATTTCATCAACAACAACATCAGATTCTCAGAATGAATAAGTTCTTCAGATTTATTGAAATTTCTCGAGTATAGACTCATGTATTAGCAGATTGCTGACAAATTTTGTAAAATAATCGCATGTCTGCATTATTTCATCGTTATTCATCTCATCCTTCAAATTCAGTTATCGAGAAGAGGAATTAAAGCTGCATATTCTTTTTGTAATTTATTGTGTTCTTTTTTTTCGCAGTATGAAATTGTGGGTTTTTATTCGAGAGCTCCGATTTTTTTTTTATTTTTCAACGTTGATTTAATTTTTTTATTATTATTTTTGTGTTGTTCAATCACTATTATTGTTAGTAGACAACTCGGAAAATTTTATTTAGATGAATAAATGCATTCGGAAGGGATTTTTGATCTTCACGTTTCTCCACGTCTTTATTATTTCGTTCATGTATACGTCATACTGATAATCAATATAATGGCCACACCATTTGATTATTACGATACAAGGTCTGTGAAACATTAAGCTACTACCATAAAGCAAGTAAAATAACTAGGATAACCGTAACAAGAATAACGAAATTATAATTAGGTATTGGGTGTGAGGATCAAAAGGAAAGAAAAGCTATATATTTTATATATAAAGCCTTTGCGCGATTTTTCTGGATACAAATTTGCCTGTAAATACCCAATCGATAAAAGAACAATTTTTTTATCAATCAGCGTAGGGGCTGCACTGGGCAAAGTGCATCCTCATTAATGTGACGTTGTAACGTGAATTTATCGCTTCGAACAAAAAAATCCATTGAAGCAAATGCTTTTAATTAAAAAATAGATGCAAGTATGATTTCCGTAACAAGTGGTAAACTAGAAAAAGTTGAGTAGGACTTTCTATTTAATCAAATTTTTTTCAAATAGAGAATGCGTTGAATTTTTTAACAGTGTGTCCTAATTCAGCACTGGAATATTCTGTTCCATCTGTACTTAAAGTGATAGAGGGGAGGGATTCGCTAATGAGTAATCTCTCTGTCCCACCAGTTAGAAAAAAAAATCATTTATATGGGTCTCATGAAGCTTCGACAACTGACTAAATGAATCAGTAATCACTGACGGATAGGATGGATTGTAAATTTCATAACCGAGTGGGGAAGATCTGCACACATTAAGAGATTATTTGTTGCTATCTGCGCCCCCACAGAACCCCGTACAATCGAGCTCATTAAGCTTTTTAGACTGCAGTTACAACTCTGTTGCGAGAGCATGCTTGTCTCATGATATATAATATTAAGTTCATAAGTGACAATGTGCTTCATTCATACCGCGAATTAATCCTGATTGAAGGATGAAATATTGTAGCGAAGAGGTAAACACTAACAGGTGGAATTTTCGATGAATACACCCTCCGCAATAACTCAACCATTATCTAAATCTACTTTACCTCTGCGCTATGAATTGTAATACGAAGTGTAAACAAGTGAGAAAAACCCCCCGGGGTGTTTTGGAAGAAAAATCCCGCTTTGAATCGTTTTCGCGTCATTTCAATTTACCTCATGTCGATAGTTTGTTTGATGTATTTTTTTTGTTACTTCGAGAATAAGAAATTGATAGTTTTGTATCATCAACGGTCGTTACTGATAATGCCTGTGCAGTGTAAATAGTATTAATCCCTTGGAAATAAATGAAATTGCAATATGAATAATTTCTTGTTATTTATGAAAACATCTTGTTTAACTTGTGTATTTCTTGAGTTGAACGCATTTTTAATCAATTATTTCGATGTCGAAGTTTTATTTTTATATCACATCCTTGGGTCTTTTCATAATGATAAACTTTGAAATGACTTCATGATCGCATAAGACGAGAGTCAGCAAAATTATATCAATATTTACACGAAAACTTGCACCGCGTGGTTCTTATAATCGAATTGCATACGTCTCATTGCATTTCGTAATCCCATGGTATTCACATATTAAGAATAATCCTGTTTGTCTCAATGAGAAGCCATAGACGTCATATTCATCGAAGAATCTGCATGAAACTGTGGAAAGTATGTGAGTCGAGGTACCGCATTTCTTGAATTACGCGGGTTAAAAAATACAAAAATCTACCATAACAATCTAGAGCCGTTTCTCAAGTGGATAATTCCTTGCGGAAATCGCACCTGAAGATGAGATTAATTCGCGAATTATAAACCTCAATTATAAAGATAGCACTGAAGCCGGATAAATGTTTTTCACTGGTGTGAATGCCCGAGTGACACGTGAATTAATTCTTCAACTTCTTAAAGACTAATTCAGTTGCTGGAGAAGTTGCATCGCGTGCAGAGAACTGCATTGTAAAGATCTTGGCACGTCCAATGAATAAATAAAATATCGATGATGTGAGGACATTGGGATGAATTTTCTAAAAAATCTTGTGTGTGTTGTGAGTAACAGAGAGTGGCTGCAGTAGAAATAAATAATCATTCTGCGGATCAGTCTACCTGGATTTATTGGCTTAGAAGAACGCGCGTGCCCACGTGTTGAAGAAATAAAATGGTGAGTTTTGCCTCAACAAGTTATTTATAAATTTATTTTTTTTAATATCTTTTTTTTCTTCCACTCTCGATTGAAATTCGTATGGTTAAATTCATAATGTGTTTGAAGAATCATGTCGACTCGAGTTTTAAATCAACTTTGGAACTCTTTCAGTCGACTGTGAATATTGACCGCATGTTTAATCATCAGAACACGAATAATTCACAGGATCTATCGAACAAGTTGGAAATATGTTTGTATTCCCCGAGTGACAACTCTCCAAATTATGTGAATAATTAATTCAATATTATATTGAACGTCGGAATGATTTGCGAGTCAACAACTTCTTTGCATTCGAGACGAATGAATAAAACATGCAAATACTGGGTCTTCAGTTTTTTACCAATCGATATGCGTCAATAAAATCATAATGCATTGTTAAAAATTTTCAATTTGAATTTAGTATTAGGGCCTTGGAAATATTTACATCATCAACATCATTGGCTCGGATTTTTCAGTGAAATTAAAAATTCCACGGGTATTTTTTCTCGATTTGAATTAGCGGGAAATCCATCCAAAATTTTTTAGAAGTATAACTTCGCTGACATAATGAGAGATGTACCACATGCGAAAATTTTCTCACGTCCATTCGATAATTCCTTGCATAATCCTCGGAGTCATCTCCGACGAAAGATAAATAGCGCGTGAATTCTTTCGTCCCCTCGTCAGACTAAATTGCACAATATTTTTAATGCATGCTTAGTCTGCTCTTCACTTGAATAAGTTATCGTCAATTACATGCACATTTTTTGTGGGATCTCTCACGGAGTCGAACTAAAAGCATCGGTGAGATTTTTCAGCACCTACACAGAGACAGGGCCCGATGGTTTCGGGCCCTAGGCCAAAGAGGTCTAAGTGGTCCCCACCATGTCCAAGTATTTCGAGCTGGAATCCATTGTCACTCCTTCAAGTATCCACTGCGTCTCCACTCGGACTTTAGTGTCGACCGGTTCCCATTGCCACTCATTACTCCAACTTCTTCCCAATATTATTTTTTGAGCCGTTAAACGCGGTCTTTTTATATATTTTTCTTTTTCACCCATCGCTTCTTTCGTTGTACTATCGCAAACTGGTTTAACTGATACGCTCCAACTCATTTTTCTCCACTTTTTTTTTCATTCAATTTAAAACTAGTTTTCCAGGAATTTTCTAAAAACGTGTAGTTGACATTGCAACATGTGAAAACGCGGCGAACGTAATTCTCTTGTAATTCAGTGAACGAGTGACAAAGTGAGATAATTCGTTTATCCCAAATATCAATCAATTTTCAAATAATTCATCCATTCATTTATCTCCTGAACTATAAATTATTGGAAAAATTATCAAAAAACTTTTTTTGCCGGAAATTCCAGTCTCAAATCGTTAATCCAGAAAAATAGAAAATTCAACTCATCACATGTTTCATGTATTTCACCTGAGAATAAATTCCGGTGAAATTAGCGTTTAAATCCGTGTCTCCATCCTGGAGAGGGAAGTGAAGTCTCCAAAAATCATAAAGAATGTGAATGTGGGAATGAGGTCAGATATAATCGTTCCGGTGAAGAGATAAATTGGAGAATCCAGTGGACGATGGCTTTGGAGCTGTCATTTCTGGTGGTACTTTGTAGCGAAATGCGCTTGAGCAATTACGGGGTGAGCTAATTTCCTTTCACGTGTCCTCGAAGTAATGAATAAATAATACCATCTCTTCCATAGAGCCCGCGAATGCAACACGAATAGTTTTTTCATTCCCTCGTCCGAAGACGGAAGGAATAATTCCTAATCGCTCCAATCCCTCATTTTTTGTCAGAATATAATCTGTAATCATTTATGATACATATTTTCCTCGAGGACATTACCATATATATCACACCGGACATGACCGATGTATCACCGATGTAAAGGTCTTCTGCAGATGTGACTTCACAGTCGAGTCGTTGATTCGACTCTCGATTAAATTATCGGCTCAATTGGTTTTTATTGGGGCAATTATCTGTTTGTTACAGGAGGTGCTGAACGCCATAATCAAACGATTAATAAGAGTCTTGTTATTTTTACTGAGCTGTCTCATGATACCTCTCCTCAGACTGAGGGCATTGAGGAAGCAGAGGAGATGTCCTCCCATTGGGAACAAGATATTGTACATGTCGGCTACAGAATTGGCCGCGAAAATCCGGAAACGAGAGGTACGAGGCACTTCCCCGGTGCTTTCGTATTCTCATCTTTTCTATTCTGCACTCAATTCAAAATTTTCATTCAACTAGACTGGAACGTTCGTTCCATTTTTCTTTCATGCACTATCTAGAATATTTTTCTATTTACATTTTTTACATAAATATTTACATAATGATATAAATATTTGATTACGTATGAATTTTTATTAATTCGTGGGTGAAATTAGTTAGCCTGCGAGGAAGTCGTCCTGGCGTACATCCAACGATGTCGGGACGTGGACCCAGTGCTGAATGCCATCGTCGAAGATCGATTCGATGAAGCCCTGGAGGAGGCACGATCGATCGACGTATTCCTTAAATCCAGTGATAAACCCGAGGAGACATTAAAGAACGAGACTCCACTGCTCGGAGTACCAATTACAGTCAAAGAGAGTATTTCCCTCGCAGGTCAGACTTTCTATTTCCAAAATTACCCTAATTGAATTTTAATGCGAGGAAAAGTCGATGATTATCATAATTTCATGTGATTCGAATATTAATAGCCAATCTAAAAAAAAATTTTATTGATAAATCACGTACGGAATTCTCATAGAATTCAAATACAATTTCCAGAGCGTTCTAATAGGAATTGACGTAATTTTTTGAGGAAGTGAATTTTTTTAATGATGAATAGAAAAAAATGCAAGAATGGAATAATGAAAAAATGAAATAAAGACACCAGGGACTCGAGGAGTTCTGATCTTTGTTCAAATAACCCACAAGGCGATATGTTTACTGAGTATATTGTTCAGGAATGAGTCATGCCGCCGGACGACGAACGAAAGATCGAGTACTTGCACTCAATGATTCTGACGCAGTGAGACGTGCTAAAAAAGCAGGTGCCATACCATTACTTGTCAGTAATACACCGGAGATGTGTATGTGCTGGGAGACATTCAATAACGTGACTGGCACAACCTGGAATCCTTACGATACCAATCGAACACCCGGTGGCTCTTCGGGTGGAGAAGTACGTGATACGCATCAGCTAATGACTCAATTTTTTCAGTTTGACTTTCGAAAATTTTCTCCGACATTCTAAATTTCGGGGAGTCATCGAAATACATTATTTAACGTTTGGATAATTTTAATCTGTGAAGGCAGCACTCGTATCCTCAGCTGCATCAATCCTGAGCATCGCCTCGGACATCGGCGGATCTGTCCGTCTACCCGCGATGTTCTGCGGCATTTTTGGTCACAAACCTACACCAGGTGTTTATTTCTTCAAATGGAATTGTCGGGATTATTATTTTTGCTGTGAATTATTCGAGATTTCCAATATTTATATTTGGGTTTTTCGATATAGAGTGGATTGGGGCGGATGGACATATGCCGGACTGCGATGACCCCGCGTGGCCGGCATTTTTCACCATGGGACCGATGGTCAGGTACTCCGAGGACCTGAATCTCTTCCTCAAGGTGTTGACGCGCTCGAGTGATGCTGTCGCACGCCTCAATGAAGAGGTAATTTTTCTCCAATACCGTTGGGAGTTGGAATTAATGATTGAAAGTAACAGGTGCAGTTGTCAAGCATAAAATACTACTACATGGAGGAAATTGGGTCTTCTGCGGTGGGCAGTATTGATGGAGAAATTATTCGTGGAATGCGAGAATTTTTTAAACACCTGGAGACTGTGCAGGGAGTCAAGGTGCAACAGGTAAGTATTCCATCATCTGAAAAAAAATTGAAATGGTCCTCTGATCCTTGCGATATTTATTTCAGATTGAAATACCGGAAATGACGTATGCGTTCGAGGCATCAGCCTCAATGCTGGTTCAATTGGACGGAGTGGACACGATCTTCAAAAAGGGGGCAAACCCTCGAGTAAGTCCACCATTAATTTGAAAAATAATCCGATTATTCCTCAATTAATTTATCTAGGAATGGAGGAGTGTCTTCATGGAGTTCCTGAGGTACATCACTTTCATGTCCCCGCACACATTCCCCAATCTAGTCTATGGGGTGTTGAAGAAAGTGGGAAACGCTTTACCCAGGAGTCACACCAAGTGGTACGAGAAGAAAAATGATCTCATAAAAAAACGCCTTCAAGTAAGATGCATTTTCAAAGGATTTCTAGTCAATTTAATGGTACTTGAAGCATAGTGAGCGCATAATTTTGTGTTAAACAGGAGATCCTCGGGGACGATGGAGTTTTAATCTTTCCATCTTTCACGTCTGCCGCTCATTATCCTTACGAAATTTACCATAAAATCTGTGACACAACGTACATGATGATTTTTAATTCCATCGGACTACCCGTCACACAATGCCCAATGGGTCTGAATAGGAAGGGCCTGCCCATAGGACTCCAGGTTATCTTCATTTAACAATTCCTTAAAGGATTTACCTCATTTACTGAAAGATTTCGTCTTTGTACACCTTTTATCTCGTTTAGGTCGTCGGCAATGCTGGAAGAGATAATTTAACAATAGCTGTTGCTCGTGAAGTCGAGAGAGCTTTTGGAGGCTGGCAGGAGCCCCCAAGCACTGAAGTAGTTGTTTAATTAAAAAAAATCACTGACGAACAAGATTAATTCTCAAAGATCGAGTGGATGACCCCAAACGTTCGAGCCTCAAATACCCAATAACAAAAAAAAATAGAAATAAATTGTAAAACTAATTTGTAAATAAGAAGATGGAATAATTTAATATTGAATATATTTCGAAGTATCATTGAAATGTAGTTACATGCCCCGGGATACCGTATAAATATCTTACTGTTACGATATTCACTGTTGCACAGCGAAACCTGAATCATGTTCAATAAATATCTACTCAATAATTCTCTCAGGCTGTCTAGAATAATGAAAAAAAAAATCTATTCACTTTCTTCACACATGCATAGAAGACAAATTAAAAAAAGCCCAACGTCTTCCTAAATCACTGTGTGAGTAACTACAGTGGAACACTGTTTCCTCATATCAATCGAATTTTTCTACTCATGATATACAGCACGTGTATAAATTTTCACTTTTTACGATCACCAGGATTTGTGTACGGTTTACCACCGTGTCGTTCCCATTCCCGGTTGAACTCGTGCTCGAGTATTTCTGCACCTCGTTTTCTGGTTAAACCAGTCTCGTCGAGGCTCAGCTCACACATTTGCATGTCATCGATTCCTAAAACACAATTTCATTCATTTTAATCCCAGATTGAGTTCAATCAATCGATTTATAAATTATAAATGCCGAAAAAGAATAAATTAACTGATGAATTGGATAAAATGTCTGTACCGGCTGTGAGGAGTATCGGGGGTTTATCCGGATGCAATTCCATCTGTCTCGCTACATATTGTCCATCGAAATGTGCATACCACCACCCGCGTTTGCCAATTGTACTAGGATTTTCAGGTTGAGGGGCCACACCAGGACGCACAAAAGGAATGCGAAAGAATCTCTGCGATGATTCGACGATTTGTTGCTTCAGGGGATTGCGGGGAGATTTAGCTGCTGCAATCGATCAATTTTTTTACGATAAATTTTTACATCAGGACAGAACAATAATTCTATTTCTAATATCAAAAGATCTCGGCGAATAAGTAAGTAAAATACCTGCTTCCATAATCGATTTCGGGGCTCTCTCGTTTTCGTACATGGTCGTCCTCCTTCGATTTCTTGCCTTCCAGGCGTGATACACCTTCAGTCTGCGATGAAATTCATGTCGACAAGCCTGAAGCAGAAATGATTGTTATCTCCCCGTGCACGAGGTTTTCACAGGGGTTTAAAAAAATCACCTCAAGTAGCTCGATATCGCACGATGTATTGATAGCATCGCGTAATTCAGAATATTTCCATTTCGACAAGTCGTATTTCTTGTTCGTCGTCAGTGCCTGATGATTTCGCACTTGCTCTGACCTGTACGACACCCAATAAATAGAAATATCAATAGAGTCGATGCAACACTGACTAATAACAATTTATAAAAAATAAATGATCAATAGTGATTAATTCTACTCGAAGAATCATGCATTGCTTTCTCCAAAGCGTTAATTATGTATACAATGACGGTGAATTTAGCCCAAGTGAGATTAATGGATCAGAAAGATTACATGATAGCTTCTACCGATCATAATTAAGATAATGCACTCTCAATCCAAACCCCGAAGTCAATTAATGAAGCGTTATTCTGCAGAATGGTTAGGGAGATAAATTAGTGGATTAACTAAAGTGCGATTAAACCTGAAAATCTAATCCACAATCTATCTTAATTCAATCATGCAAATGCAAACACCCGGTAACATTTTTATACCTGATGAGCCTGTTGTTGTTTGTTGTGGAAACCCGCGAGTCTGAGCCACTGTGTAATTACAATAAAATTTCGATAGTGAATTTTGAGATTTTTATCTTTGTACAAATGCTCGGTAATGCCGATAAAATTCATGTGCACGATTAATTATAACGCCTCAAAATATTCGCGTCACAATTTAAAATATCAGTGATATGACGTGAATATTTTGACACGAAATTCAATTAATAATTGATCGAGACAATTAAGATAAAATACCTCCGAGGAAGAGGGGGTGAGTCCTCGACCTGTCCATTTGACTCCTGGGCGAGTCGAACCGCCAAATCATGATCCCTGCGCTCTTGTTCGAGTACCTCCCGATATCGGCTCTCCTCGATGGCCTCGGTCTCCAATTCCGCCTGACAATTGCATCATTAATAGAAAAAATAAATAAATAAATTCCCCTTCGATATTCACCTGCAGAGCCAAAGCAGTCTTCTTGTCCTCTTCCTCCTGCCGTCTTCTGTTCTCCTCCTCGGCCTTCCTCCTGGCCTCGATCTCGATTTTTCTTCTCCTGTTCTCCTCCTCCTCCTTTCTCTTCAACACCTCCTCCTCCTTCCTCCTCTTCTCCGTCTCGATTTCCTGCTGGAGCTTGCTCAATCGCTCCTGCTCCTCCTCAATCTTTTGCTGCTTGACCATGTCCTGGAGTGCCGCCATCATCTGATTGACACCATTCCCCAGTTTCGTACACTCCGCGTCAATCTCCACACCCTTGATCCTCTCATTCCTCCGAATTCTTTCGATACCTGCGTCAATCTCCACTTGCAGTCCCTGAATATCCCTCAGACTCTTGTCCCTCATTTTTCTCAACTGATTACAAATCTCCTCCATCCTCCCAAGCTGACTCTTCAAATTCCTCATTTTAACAATTCCCTTGATCCTCGCCTGGTGCTGCTTCTTCGCCAGGTACATCCTCACCGTCTTCTGAATAACGATGAGATGACTGCGTCGATAAATAATTTTGTTCTTCAATTTGATCACCGAAAGCGCACAGAATTGCAGTTTATTCCACCTCGATCTCACCAGCCATTTCTTCACATTAGCCACGAGCTTCTGCAGATTGTCAGGGTCCGACTTCATGATCCTATCGAACTCCGCAAACTTGCCGGGCTTAAAAAATACTCGAGTGATACCGAACTTGAAATCCCTTTTGCTCAATTTGAGACTGTGGAGAAGAGCCTCGCAGAAAAATCGGGGATCGAGTCGTGCGAGTTCGGGTGGCAAATACGACTTGTACATGTTATAGAGCTCCTGAAAGGGAACTCTGCTTGGATATCCGTTCTCCATGAGCTGAAGAACAGACGTCATCCCCGAGCAGCGAAGCTGACCCAAAATACTCCCCCCATCGAACTGATGATCCACCATTTCATTATTCGGTTTGATGCATCGAATGAAATTTGTCCCATTGCTCTTGAGTTTGTCCATGAGCTCACCGAGCTGCGTCTTGAACTTGCTGCCGACGCTGATGAATGTCAATTTGCCCTTCTGAGTCGGGAGCTTAGCGAACTGCGTCCGCAGGAAGTGATTTCCGCTCTCCTGAATGAGTCCTTCAAGAGACGCGTGCAGAGCATCATTATTCTTCTCGATAAACTGATTCGTTTGATAGCAAACACCACCGGCATAATGCCTGATGACGAATCCCTCGTCGTCCCTGAGTTCTCTGTGTGCCTTGAGCTTCGAAGTCCTCGGCAAGGTGATCCTGAAGTGGCCGGACCACGTCCGGTGGACCTCACTCGTAAAATGGGCGAAACTGTGTGTCGGCAATTTGGACTCTTCATCGAGAAGACTGAATATTCCGTTTGTCCTCGCCTCAATTAGATCAATGCAGTCCTGATTGTCAGCATACGATATCTTGGGTACGTTGAGCGACTCCTTGGCGTAGAGATCCTGCTCGTACTTGAGGATCCTCTCGTTGAAGAACTGCTGGAGTTTCTCGTTGCAGTAGTTTATGCAGAACTGCTCGAAGCTGTTGACTTTGAAGTACTCGAAGCCGGCGATGTCCAAGACACCGATGTAGTAACTGGATGCCTTGAAGGGGATGCTCTGATTGATTCGTGCCACGATGTGATCGAACAATTTGCTGTAGATAGCTTTGGCCAGGGCGTCCCGAGCATTGCTCGCTTCATACACCTTCAGGGGTACCATGATGACGGTGCCCTTTATCCCACCGCGACTTGTCTGCATGACTTTCGAGATCAGTGACTGTCGCAACTCCTCTGGATTGACCCCCAGGAGTCTAGCCGTGATCGTCACAGCTTTCTCCGAACGCCCGGATATCCTCGATCCCCCCTTTGTGTCCTCCGGATTATCCTCGAACGCGATGTTCCCGAGGTGGAGGACTGCTGCGACCATCGTGTAAATCTCCATCTTCTCCGCGGGAGTCAAACCCAAACGTGTGAACGCCTGGTCTACTGCATTGAAACCCTCGACATCGTCCAGGATGGGATCTGCCAGACAGCCCTTGGACGTGTGATCACTCGTCTTCTGGCTATCGTTGAGCTTCTTCTCGGATGACGAATTGCAGAAGTACTGGGTGCAGCCGTTCCTGAGGTATTGAAAATCATCGGGTTTTGTGATGCACAGCTTGGCACGGAGATCTGGTGGTGCACCAGCGCACATCATGTAGAAGACGTGGTAATTCCTCTCGTCAGGGCTCTGCAAGCACACCCTCGATTTCTCCAGGAGGTAGTGCGAGATGTACCCACCGACGACTTGGCATTTATTGTCGAAGTGGACTTCCATGAATTTTCCGAAGCGAGAGCTGTTGTTGTTGCGTTTTGTCTTGGCATTACCGAATGCCTCGAGGACGGGATTGGCGTCGAGAATTTTTTGCTCGATCGGACCGGCCATTGAGCCCCACAAATCGCACAGGTATCGCAACAGGTACTTGGTGGACTCAGTCTTTCCGGCTCCAGATTCCCCGGAGACGATGATACTCTGCGATTGCTTAAATACTTTCATATCGCGAAACGATTTGTCTGCGATGGCGAATACGTGCGGTGGCGTCTCCCCCAGGGATTTTCCTTGGTACGATTTTATCATTTTCGGGGAATAAAGATCCTTCACGGGACAGTAAGGATTCACCGCTATCAGAATATTCGCGACGTAGCTCTGGAAGTGAAATTAATCCCTGACATTTTTTTGTTATGGAAATAAAATTTTTGTCAATCAATGAATAACGATTCGGTGATGCTTACGTATATGCGATCTTTAAAGTACCGAGTGCGGATGTTGTTGAGGAGGGTTGCCTCGTTCAAGTACATCAGCGCACAATTGTCCTCGACATCTTTGGTATACTCTCCAGCTGGGTACACTTCGTCGAGAGGACACGTGCGCTGCTGAAATTTTGGATCTAGTGGAACGATCAGGGCATCACCGTCCACCATATCCGTGAATTTACCGATAATAAAACCCTCCGTCGCATCTCGCACCCACACCTGCTGATTGTCCATTGTGATATCCTCTGCAATTGAAGAAATATTTATGGGATTCTAATTTTTCTCCATCAAATTCCAATCTGTACTATTAATTATTTATTTTTGCCATCATTAATGCTGAAGGCGCGAAAAATTCGAAGAGCTGTGGATCATGAGCAAATATTTCCGCCGCAGGTGATACCTTGACCCTCACAAGTCTTATAACTTCTCGAAGATGAAAATGAATGCTCGGGCATCATCGTAAACCTCATCGATTCAAAAGTACTACCTCTGGGGCTTCTCCGTCGATATCCCCGTCTGCATAACAGACTTCCCCGGAGAAATTTCAGATTTAATGTTCAAAGCCCATGATATTCGTCATTCACACATTCTACTAACGAACCTCGTCGTTCAACATACGTTAACATCATCCACATGGCATATTCAAGTTTTTACCTTCCACTTTCGTTACGTGCGCCAAATCTACCCACCGGAACTGATTACGAAACCAGACGACAATTACTAACAAAACATTTTCACTCTGTCACGTAATTCCCTTTACATCAACATCTCCTTCTCCATATCATTCGATTATTTATGTTAACTGACTAGTCACAAGGTCATGAGGTTTTAAAAACTGTAAAAAATATCCACATATTTTTCACTGTTTCTCATTTTTTTATGTGGCGCAGAATTTTTTTTTTTGAGTCCAACAATTAAGGAGAACAATGAGCCATTTTTTTTTTTTCGCTGTCTAAAGAAAATAATTCCATGGACTAAACGTTTTCTCTTTCCCTGGAGATCTGATGCAATGCATTCAGCAATCTCAACAAAGACGTGTGTTGAACTTTTGATATTACAAAGAGGCGCAGAGAAAGACTAGAGCCTAACAGTAAGAAGAATACCGCACGTTTGTGTGTCAACTTCCTTAAACTTTTCATTTTTATCTCATTTCCTCGTCTCCATCTCGCTGCATCCCTCAATATTCCCAGTAACGGTTAATTCCAGTACTGTACAGAACAGCTGCATCAGGGAATTGAATTAAAAAAAAAAAAGAAAAAGCCGAGAGCTCCTACGATACCAGAGCATTTTATTATCTCCCCCGGGGCAAAGAGTTTCTTCAGTTTCCCAAGTCTTGGGCTTATAATTATATTTTTCATCCAGCAACAGTTAAACAATTATCTTGTAAAAAAAATTAATGTATTTACTCGTAAAAATTCGAGCAGACCAAATTTTTCTGCATTCTGTTAACTCTAAAAATAAACCTCTCATTTCCGATAATGAGTTTGTCCTTCCGACCGGAAGTGCAGGGGTTTCACAACGGATATGTTTTAGAATCAGAAAGGGAATTGAAGTGAAATTGTCGTGTCCAGGTGGAAACAGGAACAGGTGAATAGCACGTCAAAGTGTTGGAGACACGCACTGATAATCATATTCACTCCTCATTAATAGATTCTTCGATGAATTACTGAATTCTCTGCAGAATCCCGTGGATTCTGCAACCCCTTTCAATTTTATTATAATAATTAGGGATTAGGAAATGAGAGTTTTCCAAGAGAAGCGGATTTTTCAGCGATATTCATAGAAATGGAAGCGGCTCCGTGGGTTTTGGTTTCAATTCGTTAGTCAGCGAGAAAGTAAGAGGGCTCTCTGCTTTTTTTTTTCTTTCATCTTTTTTTTTTTTTCATTTTACCCCACCTGGTCACGGCCACTGAACCCGGGACTGGCTGTTACCGTGTTCGTTGGTGTTCATCATGCTAGCCACCACACATACCACATGAGTATCAGGTACACAAGTGCCCATCGATTACGTACGTAAATTACATCGAGGGCTGACGTATTCTCTGGTACATACAATGACATTGTTACCTCTGCCCCCATCGAATAAAAAACATGCACAAAATAAATTCAGGGGTGAACGAGAATAAACCACTTTAAATGTTTTATTGTCCTTTAAAAAAAAATTATACAAATATTGGGGTGAATTTAGCTGCTGCTTGAGAGGATCGAGAGGACAATGCCCTGTCCTGGGGAAATTGTCCGTAAGAGGATGCAACATGTCTTGCGGAAAATCACAGGTGGAAGATGAGAGCATGGGGAAAAATATCTGTCGCTTGAAAAACCATAAATCTGCTATCAGACTGCCGATCACCACTGAAATTACCTCCAGCCGGTGGCTCCAGTTCAATGAACTCGTCTTAATTAGCATAATAAATTCAAAAGTAAATATTATTTTCACCACAATTACTCTCAATTACTCTCGATTTGGCTCAGCATTATCAACTGGACCATCAGCCTCTCCGGACTCGGATCGAAAATTTTTCTGTTATCATTAATTAATTCGAGAAAAGAATAAGAGATGCAACATTGAGGCATCAAGAACCGGCAACACTGATCTATATTCCTTTCACTTCTCTATGAATCCTCTCCAGAGGTTGCGATGTTGCCGCACGATGTTCAATATTATTTTTATTATCAATCAAAAAAGGTGGAAGAATGAGGAAAAAATTGCAATCAAGTTGTAGCAATTGGAATATTTTTATTACGTGCGATGGATTGTTGATAATTTCTGGAGAAAATGAATATTTGCTATCAGGTACTGTCTCAAAATTGCACCACCTTAATATCCAGTGATTGAATCACCCTAATTACAGACTTCGCACATGTGCGTTCATGTGTGAAGTATCCTATGATTATGCAACCGCGATATATCATTCAATTGTCGAGTGGTAAAACCAGTTAATCGTGCGTTTTTTTTTTTTATTTAGTGTAGACTGATGACATATATGATTTGACAGATGGGGCTCATTGCGCGTATGATAGTATCATACCAATGCCCTCGGAGCAATCATGAGGTATTATTAATTGGTGTAATCTTCCCCCCGTGATCTTGACCGCTGTTTTAATGCAATGACTGCAGTGCAAAAGGTCGCGTGTAGGACGATGGATCGTAGGTAATTCAAATCATTGGAGAATTGAGTTGATTTTTCCGGCAGGGAGAGAAATTATTGAAAAAAATCTAGTGCCCGCGAGAGTACTCCATATGCGTGCTGAGATTTTATCTCAGTTTATGCGATAACGCGGATTTTTACTCTATTAAATATCTATAAAGTCATTTTAGTTTTATATTTCAGAGAGATTGGAGAGATCTCGGGCATTTTGTTGGCTCATGGATATTTATTTAGCGTTTATTGGAGCTTTCGGAGAATTATTAAATGGTTCTGTTAGGATTAAATTTTCAGTTGATTCTTCGTAATGAGAATGAAAGTGTGTAATTTCTGTTTTTGATTGGCCGGTGAAAGTCGGTTTAGATGATGGAGGATCGCTTTTCTCATTAAATTGTTTTTCACTATTAACCGTCTCGAACGAATGCATCGAGAAATTAATCCCCGTGGGATCGCAAGGTGCGACATGTTAACGCATGATGATTTTCAGATGGATCTGCGATTTTTATACGATAAAAAAAATTATAGTCTATCAAATTTATTAATATCGAACAATTATCAAGTTGAGTCTCTTCACGGCTATTTTTAGAGATGGAAATAAAAATAATTGGTGCGGGGAACAAACGGCGGGGGAAACCAGAAATGTGGAAGCCACAGTGGAACCGATATTTCGTTAATTTAAATTCTAAAGTTACAGCTAAAAAGTAGGACTTTTCCGCTCGGTGGGCGGTACTCAACGGTATTCACTCGAAATTACTTCCAAAGCTGTTGAACATTTTCAGAATTATATGAATAATCGCCGGGAGAAAAAAAATTTTATCGAATATTGAAGATAACAACCGATTTTCCAGTTATAAAACACCAATAAATCGCCCGCAAATCGTTACTTTAAAAATTTAAGGACTTCCCAGAAAATACCCGCACTAATCTTTTCCTTCAATAGAAAGTAAATTAGTGTGATTCCGTCAAATAAATTGAGATTGAAAATTTATTTTCACTGTGAGAATTCTCGTCTTGTAAGATACTTCAATATTCGGTAAATAATCTCTACATAACTCTTTATCACACCGACGTTATCATTAGAGGGATCAACATAGATCAACGAAATACAGGTGAGGTGAGAAAATTGTATTCTCGTGTTATCGGGATCAGCGAATGGGCTGCCTCAAGGTAAAATTTAACATTCGATGATTCAGATATGAATTGTAGTTATTGAGGTTGACTTGTCGAGCTTCAATACCTCAATGCAGTGGGTGCTTGAATAAATGTGGGATAAATAGGTCTGTTCGATACAAGTGAAAAAAGCCTTCAATCGCTGCTAAATTAAACTCTCCATTCATTATTCACCCGGTGTATCTGTTACTGACATTTTCCACTTTAAAATTATTTTATGGACGTGCAAACGTGTATTCCCCGAAATTCTTATGAATTGTCTGACATCCTTGAGGTGACGTTTCAGTCTTCAACAGGTGTGCTACAAGCGGTTGCTTCCGTTAAATAAAATTGAAGTTTCAATGAGTCTTTATTAATCGATCGGGCGCGCACTCACCGAATTTTTCCGAATTTGTAATAAAAAAATCTATGGGGAATTGGTAATAAAATTTTTTGGGAATTACTTACCCGATTTATGGAATTATTCGGGAATAGTACACACCGAACTACACGAGCTGCGCGAAGTTCCGCGGTGGACTGTTATATGGGACCTCTTGTTCGATAGGATTCGGATAGGATCGTGTCCCATCGGGAATTCTGGCGAGGTCTGATTATTGTGGAAATCCAGGAAGTTTCTACTGTATCAGCTCCTGCTGGGAATTGTCTGCTAGTGAAAATCACCAGAGTGTGCAGACGCAGCACAAGATGGAGCTGAATACCGCGCACATAATTTTGAATATTCGCGCCAATGGATGACGCCGCGCCTGATTTTCCTTTTTTCAAAATTCAATTTTTTATTTCAGCGTTTATTGAGCCAGAAAATGAGAGCGCCGATCTTATTGGTCAATTTTTGAAAAAACCTGATATTTCCACCTGAAAAATATTACTAAAGACGTAAATATTTTATGCTCGAGTGGACAATTTAATTTCTACCTGCAATTTGATGGAAAAATAAATGACCTGTGAATCGCTCCTCCGATCCGTTAAAAAAATTGAGAATTGAGTGTCTGAGGCAGGTCGTCTCAGGTGAAAGGCTTTGTCATTTGGTTGGAATGTTTCGTCAAAATAAATGGGCTGTTTTATTTTCAAGTGGCTCGTCCTCCAAAACAATTCCGTCAATTTCCGTTGTCAATGTTGTTGCAAAATAAGGAAATGTTGTTGCAATACTTGAAGGACTGACTGGAGAAATAATCGGAGTCCGGGTTTCCTGTACCACTAGTATTTCACAACAAGCTAAATCTTTCCCAAGGAGTTACTTGAGACAATGATAAAATCCTATTCCTCTAATGATTGCTCCATTGTCGAGTTTATTATCGTAATTATTATGAAGGAAAGAAGCGCAAAAACTTCATCCGAGTCCAGCGGACTCACAAGGGGAAAGTAATCACTCGAGTACGATCTCTCCACACTGAGAAAAATTTATACAATAAAAATATAATAAATAAAAATAAATCAGAAGACTCATTCTATCCTGAAAGCCACAGCGTACACTTTACAATAAATTCTCTGCCGTCCTATTACCGCGGGAAATAATTACAATACGCTAACTAATCACTAATAACTCAATTTTCTATAAAAACGTCTTCAGACCGTCGAGTTTACTGGGATTTCGAGGAGCTCAGGCCATGATTGATTTACTAATCATCAGAACGATTATGCCGAGAGATCAGGCATAAAAGATTGTACTTGGGAATCACAAACCATTTTTAGTAATGATTTATTGAAGAAATTAGCCATTAGTCACATCAGGAAGAAAACTGCACAAGGAAAGAACTGAATTGACAGCTGCAGCCGGTTTTTCCATTCATTCATTCTCTCTATTTCATTTATCATTTTTAATTTGTAACGGGATAGGTATCATGTGTAATTTAACATAGTTACAGTTTACCGTGACAATTTACCGTGTATTTCGCTCACCGGTCGTTCGGAAAATATCCGGAGATAAGAATTTTTATAAAATTCTCAGCAATTTCAATTTCAATGAAAAAAAATAATATCTTAACAAATCAAGAAAGCATATCCTTGGAATGAAAAGGGCTTTCGGTGACGAATTACTGTATATTTTATACAACGTCTGAATCCTCCGTTAATGGTTCCGATCTTTGAGGTCTAAAATCCTCATAAAACTTTATTATTTTTGTGTGAAATAATAATCTGGCTTTATAAAAAAGTGGAATCGGTCCCTCCAATAATTTGAGATTTCACTTTAACCGATCGCTCTATTATTAGCCCCCGTATTTGAAGAGTTCTACCATTTCTTATCAAAGATACGACGGATTATCTTCGATGTGAAATGGATTTATACCTCACTTCACATGATACCGGATCGAAATCGTTTCCACGTGTATCAAACTTCAGTGGAATGTCTCTTTGTCTCGGAAAACAAAGATAAGCAATGCCTTTACGGAATAAAACATTTATTAAAAAATCATCTAATAATTCCCGCACAAATCCACCATTAAATTTTATAGCAGAATATTTTTTTTCAATTCACATCTCATATTTTCCATAATTCACGATGAATTCATGAATCATACTTTTTGTTTTAATTAATAAAGACAATTTCTGAGCACTTGTCGTCGATAAAATTCTTGCATCACTATTTTATTTCTCTTTCTGGAGAAAAAATGAGGGACTATTTGAAATGGGCCAGCTGTATCCATACGCGATGGAATATTAATTTCTCTTTCGTCACCCGTGACATTTTTTTCAGTAACGAGTCTCGAATTGAACTACTCGCCAATCTCTAACTAAAAAAATAAGAGTGAAAATATGTTTATAAAAATGGTACCACTGGAATTGAAAATTTTCATAATGATTTTATTTGTTTGTTGAATACAAAAATTTCTCTCGGATAAACTTTTTTTGTTTTAATTTATTATTAAGCCATCGTGATGGAGTAGCCAAGGTATACCAGGCCACTCTAATTTCCTCTCAATCGCCAATCCCCATTGAGTTCTCCAAAGTTCAAGTGAATTCGAGAGAATGTAAAGTCCCAAGACGAGATACTCCGGGTGGGAGTGTCAGGGTGAGCCAATGCCATTTAGTCCTGATTGCTCTGTACAACGGGGAATTCCCTCCGACGGTTACAACCGCGAGTCGCGTCACCGAGTGTTTATTCTCATCGCGCACCTCGACGAAGTCTCAGCATCGAAGACTCCACTGGAATTCTGGGGCCCAACAAGACTTCATCTTCATCTTCATCAGCAGCGAACCCTCACTTGACATTACCGGACTCCAGGTGGGTGAAGTAATAATTCCACGACGATATACACATTATCATTATTATTTATCGTCAACTCGCTTATCATTTTCGCGGATTGTGCATATTACAGGAACCACTCATGAAATTTTTCATTGTCAATTATTTATCGCTGATAAAAACCCCACGACCATGAGTGTTCAGAAAAAAATGAAGCTGTTACCTATCCGGAGACAATTAATTTATAACAAATAACAATAATTAAAGGCATTAAACTCGACTCTATTCGTAGTAAATTGTCAATTGCACCTGTGCAATGGAATGTCAGTGGTTGGTAGAAAAACATTGTATCCAATGACTAAACAAAATAGGAATCCGCGGGAAAAATTATATACGCTTGGATGAGGACTGATATCCGCGTCCACGGCCTCCAAATATTATTCTTCCGCTGGTTTGCAAATTGCACAAAGGAAACTATGTGGGAAGCACTGGCGCATCTCTTGCGAAATATTCCGTTTTACAATTTCATCACAAATTCACAAACATAGCTTTCGAATAATCCGAGGGAATCACATTGCGAGGAATCATAAGTTCGGATTGCGCCGTTGGATTTCTCTCGGTACAGGAAAATGTTTGAAATTTTTGCAACAATTTATTTTTTATCAACTCCAGATATTGTCATGAGGAATCATTAAATTCCTTTGAATACAAGCACAAATATTTCTTCCTGATTTTTAATTTGTGCTGATGAATTCCATTGAAAACAAGTCGAACATCACTGCACATGCGTTTTTTTTTTGTTGATTATTCATTCGATAATTGAAAATCGGAGATAATCATATTATCGTATTTATGATAAGGCGTAATGATTGTGTCATCTGAGTCAGTCGATATTTTTTGAATTATTATTTTTTGGGAATTACCTTTCTTTACCTTCAGACATTTCCTATTATTGAGCATCGAGTCATTCCACAAAGTGGAATTATTCGCTTTGACCATCGCATTCTCCCCACGCATAAATCAAAAGTGCAGACGGAAGGAATTCGTTTGATAAATAAAGATAAACTCCAAGAATGAATTTAATTAGTCCTGGAATAGACGCAATATGGAAAAACTCTTAGCCGTGCGTCGTCTCGACTTGATGTATTCAGTGACATCAGCAGTCGCGTCTGAAACATTACACCAGTCAAATTGACAGCTAGCTATTTCATCTTAAACACCTTTTCCTTGTGCGACACCTTGACACGTCATTCATGAAGACGAGAGATTATCCCGGTCTATTCTGTGTGATTCTTGCCAATGTGACGCATTTTATTATCAACATTAACGAGACAATTTAAAAGCGACAATATTCTTCGGGCTATTCAATTTCATAAATTATTAGCGGAGAGATAAATTTTACGAGTGACGGAAAAGATATCATAGTTTTTCTTAGGAAACACCTTATTGTCTCCTGAGATTTTTTTATTGTTCAATTTCTATTTATTATAACTTGGAGAAACAAGTGGTTTTTTGTTTTAAATGAAAAGTTTGAGGGAAAAAAATCACCTGTTTTAAGTCCATCGGTAATTATTTTTCTCGGTGAGGTGATCATGAGTTTGGAATTTGTGAATAAAAAGAGGGCATTGTTAAATCCTTATCTTCTTATCGAAAACGTTTCGCACATCGAGATGCCCATGAAAATAAAAGGTGGCATGAGAACATTTTTTAATTATCTGCGGCAATTGAATTGAAAAATATATTTACAGATATTTCTCTGCGGAGAATAAATCAAGAGGTTTATTATTTATTTTCGGTAATAATTTCCGTTATTTTCCGTTAATAAATAAAATTGGCATTCAAGGGGATCAAGTGGAGCATCAACTGGTTCAGGGTTTTTCTCATATTGTGGACTAGTCGATGATGCAGGGAAAATACAGAAGCTATCGATGCCCCATTTAACTTCAAGCATGAATAGCATCTCTAGAAATTATTTCCATTATTCCCAAGTCTTCCACATTTTTTTACTGATGAATTTCTCAACTTGAAATTCTCTACTCCAACAAATCCTCAAAAATATTGAATGTACATTATCCAGAATTATTATCTCACTCCACTGATTCACCTGTTCCGGAATTTATTGAAGAATTTCCAGGCGCATCAAGTCCCCCTTTCTTCAGGGCAAAATAGCCAAGGTCTCAAGTTCCTAGAATTAAGGGACTTATCCACTCTGCGTTCCCTCACCTAGAGCAAAAAATTTTCAAACCCGATAATTTGCAAGGAACGAGTTTCTCCGGTAGGAAGACCTGAGTGAAATATTCTGCTGAGGGTATAAGGGAGCACAAAAGGGATCGTCTTGGAGAAAAAAAAAAGTGCAGTAATTACAGTTAACACGTAGACCTCCCTCTTAATCCTAGCGCGTGTGTACTTTCACTGGATTACAGATGATGTTCATTCGTGACGAAGTCACCGACGAAGCAACACCCAGTGACTCTTCGTGATGTGATCCAGCGACTGGAACAACTCAGTGTAGTTCAGAATGAATGAGTGTTCGACTTATTGCTAAATAATTGGCGAAATTTAATACCCATGAAGACTTTATGTCCAGTCTTTCGTGATTCTCATGTGCGTATTCCCTGCAATGTAACGATTCAGTGCTGTTATCGCCTACGTAGCGATCGATTAGAAAGATCTCAAGACGATACCAGAATATATATCTGACTATGTCAACGTTCAAGTCAGTTTGTACCTTGCGAGGTACAGATTTTGTTGGACTTTGATGGTAAAGTACCTATGACATCGTAACTCGTACTCAAGAAAATCGCCACCCGCTGGACGAAGGATTCTCTAGTGAACCAAGGATTCAGTGTATGTTGAACATGTTGTAATGTTATCATTGTTTAAATTCAATGCTCCTATTTCATTTTTATCATCTCACATCATTTATACCGAACGAATATGTTTACTCTTCGTATTTACCAATTTCTTGCATCTTTCTTCCATTTTTTTCTGAATTAATTATTGAATTAAATTATTCATTCCAGGATGTGCTGGCGCGAATTTTAATTTCCACAAGTTTTAACAATTTTGTGAGAGAATATTTATGAAATATTGTGTTTTATGTTGTTTTATCGTATGCGAGTGTCAGTGTAAAGCAGAATATTGGATGGAGGACATGGATAAATTTTGAGAAATTAAAAGGATTAAATGTGCCGAATACTCGACAAATGGTGAATTTCACTTTTATCATTTCTCATAATTCCCACCGGACGAAAGCATTTACTGCCCACATTTATTTTCGCCAGCAATTGGGCACTGGGGGAATTGCCAGGGCAATTCCCTGGCAATTGCTGTATAGAAATATTCATAAATCACAATGGCTCTCGAATTGTTCAAATATTCGTCAACTCTGTTCTAGAAACCCATATTTTATCACTCCGACGTGCCTCGAGGGCTTTTCAAAATCAGGCCAAGGTCTTCACATTTAACGTCAATCAGTAAATTTTCCACTGTAAAATCGTGGAATAGGTGCAATGCATTATCGAAGAGAGGTAAAATCCGATAAATACCGACGTACAAATTCCAAAAGTGATTTTTTTCAACTTAAATGTTAATTCGATAGATATAGCACGCCCTGAAATAAACTAATCGATGACAGAACCCATGGGTCGTTGCATTAATTAACATTTTCCCCTCAACCGATTGAAGTTGTGATAACTACTCAATAGGAAAATGAGAAAATCAGTGGAAAAACAGTGGGAAATCCAATGTGAGAGATTCAAAGAAATTGTGACATGTTAATGTGCACTCAGCGAATTATTACCGGATATTTATTCAATCTGCGCTTCATGACTCAATTTGACACGAACTGCGATTATATCAGGCGCATTGCCCTCGCTATTTTTCCGAGAGTTTCCATGTTATCTTCATTTGCTCTTTGAAAGTGCAAAAAATTTTCAATTTCTTTGCAAAGACAATTTTTACGCCGTTAATTGAAACTTTTAGCGCTATTCCTATAATATTCTCCCTCAGTTTGCGAGCAATAAACACCAGGAGTATTAAATTTAATGGGTAACTTATAGACATGTCGATAATACTGGCGCAATTACTCTTGTAGGTAGAATAAAAAAGTCGAGGTATCTGGAAACGAAGGCAAAAACCAGCTGTGTCTGATCTCCAGTGTTGGTTAGTACCAGTCCCAGTGCGTCGCTTTCGTTAATCTCTTACCGATTCTCCAACGAATTTAGCTCATGACATTCACCATTAATCATCCAGCCTAATGATTCATTCTCCCAATCACAAAAATAACATATAATCCCCCCGGAATCCCCCAATTATGCCGCAAACATGAATCAATCTTCAAAATTACATGATAATAATAATTGTATCACTGAATTGCAACACCGAATCACCAGATTAATTGTTTTATCGTATCATCAAATTTATAAGATAAAAGATTTATGCGGATAGGATTAAGCGAGGCTCACACGAGTATTAAGGATTGCTTGAAGTTTGGCTTTTGCGTTTTGATCTTTGAACCTTAAGATTTTGCTTTATGCAGTCAAGAAAATACGGAGGATGGAGACACACGGGGATCACACTAGAGAGTTCCTCCTGGAGAGGGTATCAGATGTCAACGTCACCAGTGATGATAATGACGCAACAGCTGTTCTCACTGCAAAAGGCGTGACCATGGTGGTCCTGTGCAGCGTCAGCATATGTGTGGGCCTCATTCCAATCCAGATCAGTAGGTGCCTCAAATGGTCATCATCGGAATCTATGACAAATCCTAAGTAATTAAATATCAACTAATGTTCATGTTTTCATTCCGAATTCGTCCACTCTATTTTTCCACACATCAAAGAAGAATAACGTGAGAATAACGGAAGGAATTCCTTTGAATTTCAGATCCCTCAAGATAGTCGGAATGCTCCTGGCATTCGGTGGAGGTGTTTTATTCTCAACAACATTCCTCCATATGCTTCCCGAAGTGGAGGAGCACGTCGAGGAACTCATTGCAAATGGCAGCTTGCCCACTGTCAAATTTCCACTAGCACAGATTTTTGTGTGCACTGGGTAATTATTCTGGGGAATAAAATTTTTCCATATCCCTTTCCTTCTTACGTTACCCATTGCTCTTTCAGATTCTTCATAATGTATTTGGTGGAGGAGATAGTTCACTCAAGGCTTCGTCATCATGAGAAAAAGTGTGTCAAGCACATGGAGAAAGATGTCAATCGAAGTACCAATGAATTAGTGGAAAATGGACAGATAAATTACTCTTCCAACGGACACTCTCACAAGTGAGTGATGACTGCTTTCAACTGATCGATACATTCGACAATAAATCAACTCCACCTTTTGAGTTGATGATTGATGAGAGGATTTACCAATAATTATGTATCTGTTTTTTCCAGTTACAGTCATAGCCATAGCCATGGCCATGGCCACAGTCACCTGCCAACTGCTGTACTCGATGACAAGTCAAATTTCGTCCTGACCTCACTCAGGGGACTACTGATAGTCCTGGGCCTGTCTGTTCACGAACTTTTTGAAGGTCTCGCCATTGGCCTCGAGAGTTCTGCTAATTACGTTTGGTGAGCATTGACAGCTGGGTGTCAGAAAAAAAAAATTATTTCTCCCCCAATAATTCATCAATTCAACAATTATCCAAGAGTTTGATTTTAACGATAGGTACATGTTCGCGGCGGTAGCTGTTCATAAATTCGTCATAGCATTTTGCATTGGCGTTGAGCTGATAGCATCAAAGACAAATCGTTGGCTGAGTATTGCGTACATATGTACTTTTGCTGTTGTGTCTCCATTGGGCATTGGTATTGGAATGATTCTGACTGGAGGCGAGCAAACTGTCACTAGTGGGCCCCTCCCAGTTATCCTACAAGTAATAAATCTCACCTATTGTCTGGCCAATTCAGTAGCGAAGTGATAAAGTGTGATAACTCGAATTTTAATTTGAGATCTATCCATTAAAGGCTCGAGAAAGAAAATTTACACATAAATATATAAATATAATCGACTTTATCACTAAAATTGAATTCTTTCTCGATACAATTCACTTATTCACTACTGAATAGTTTTGACATTAATCAATATTAATAAGTCAAACGATCAAATAGAATGATCTGTCTGGATTCTAGGGAATCGCTACTGGAACATTGCTCTACGTCGTCTTCTTCGAGATTCTCCAGCACAATCGCGATGGCCTCCACCAGTACCTGTCAATACTCTTCGGTTTCGCTGTCATGTTTGGACTACAAATCGCAAGTACGTAGTCGAAAATTACTTTTAAAATTGCTAGCAATAACTCCCATCTCATCTACGTATTTCTGGTAGGAAAGGTTTTTACGACTTCAACATATCCGTTACCTCAAAAAATTTCCATCTTATTCCGGTAACCGACGATTTCTTGTTTATACGCGAAGAATTCCAATGCCGTAACTCGTTTCTCACTTTCATCATTGACCTCTGCAGTGTTTATCACCAAATGAATCATAATTTCTTGTCTACATGGAATCTCCGTAATATTTCAAGTCTCCAAACATGGAAATATTACAAGACCCAACTAAACAGGGGCTCTCGGTATTTCCTCTTAAAATCAATAGACATTTCAGAAATCGATAAAACACTTGTCTTACTTTATCACTTCTCAATGGTTCCCAGCGTATTGATTGTTTCTCCACAATCGTCAAGAGAATTCCAAGGAAAAATCGTTCCCACGAAACGATTGCAGATATTACTGCGTGATTTCAGCGGAATTATCACAGGTGCGACAATTATATCCGCGCACGCAACTAAAAAATCGTAGCACAACGAGTTTTTTATAAATATTCTCCATCCCTCCGGCAGAATGACACGCGATTACTGTATATAATTTTTTGGATGTTTACAAATTCCACAATTTTATCGTGACTTGTATTTTAATCTCGACGAACTCGTCGATTGTCCCTGAAATATCAATTTTTCCTCTCCCAGAGCTGTGAAGAATTCCTGATAGTCCAGCTCTCCGTTATCTCTGAACAATGACAAGTTTATATTTACCAGGGAAGTACAAATGGACAATTGTTATCAAGAGTTAGGTCTGAGTAAATTTGACCGATGTGCATGTCGACCGCTGGTGCATCTACGTCGAAAGTCGAGTTGTATCTAGCTCGCGTGGGTGGAAGAGAGGAACCAAAAGGGGATATTGAGGAAGGGGGAGAAGGGGGCAAACTCGCGATTAGCCGCATAGATGTTAAAGTCACGTGGAAGTTGCTTTTAGTGTGTGGTACAGTGTGGAATCGTCAAGTTGATAGGAGGAGGTAAGACGGTGGGCGAGGGGATAGAACAACTACCCGAAGGCCCCCGTTCCGAGGAGTATCCCGTTCGTTGTGCCGCGAGGAGGTCAATTATTTTTTTTTTTTGACTCTACATTATTTTTCATTCATCTTCGAATCTTCCGGAAACGCTGGAAAAACAGACAGAGCACTGGGGATAAGGGACTTATCGCACCCAATAGAATTGCATAGAATTGCGAGAACCTCTTCACCTGCGAGAACTGAAAAGAGTACTGTTGAAAAAAGAATAAAAAATCGAGGAAGGTGAGATTGTCCGGGGAGTCACTGGTAATCGATGTGCAGTTGATGTCGTTGAGTTTGAGGAAGAGGATTCGCTCGAGTGTCACGAGATTACAGGAGAAGACTTTACTCGTAATGGAGTAATGAGTCAAGGAATTTTAGTGGAAGAGGTGTTTAGTGGATAATTGATGGTGTGAGATAGTGGGGAAAGAGGAGATTGACTGATTGACTGATTGACACTTGGAATTTGGAGTTGGATCATGTGAAAGTCTAGAAATGATAAGGATTTTTCCACCGGCAGTTGACACTCGATTTTTCTTTCTTTGATTACCGGAACAATTAATACTCGAGCGATTTACGAGTGGAAGCCGTTCGGCTCTATTGGACACTGATATCACTATCATTTTCAACGAGCATCGAGCAATGATCGCAACGGAAGGGTGATATAAAGAATAAATCGAGGTTTCAGTAGCGTGAAGTTTATGGAGATATGGAGAACTCTGAGGGATTGGGACAGGCCACTCAGACTGACCAGTCATTGATACTGGTGAAAATTGGGGCCATGCTCGCTCTGGGAATGGGTTCATTGGGACTGGGCATGTTGCCACTTGCTGTTGGACATTGTCGATTCAAGAGGAGACAGAAGTGCGCCTTGTCGAGCACCTCGAGCACGTCGACTAACACCTCATCAACACCTGATTCCTCCGCTCAAGTACGCTTTGATTTTTTTTTATTATTATTGATCCACCGTTTCTCCAGCACTTCACTCGACATTTTATAACTGATAAATTAAGCATCAAGAAGAAAATTAATTCACCTCTTTTATCTGATTTATTCTTGCTCCCATAAAATCCTGAGATTCCCGTGATTCCTAATATCTAATCTCTACTGATTAATCCTAGATTGGTCAGCTCCACGGGAATGGGGCGCCGTGTTGTTTACCTCAATTTTTTGGAAATATAACTTCCTCAATTATGTAATTGATAAAAAATAAAGCCATTTTTTTCGATTAATTGGCCAATCCGGGGTGAATAAAATGCCGCGGAGATGAGAGGTGCTGGGAGAAACTCGTGAGATAATCCCCGAAAATAACAAAATGCGATAAAACCCAGGGTCTGCTGACTTCCTTGCTCCTCTGCTTCGGTGGAGGTGTCCTCCTGTTCACGACATTCCTACACCTGGCGCCAGAAGTTCGCCAGAGTGTGGATCGTCACCAGTTGAACGGTCAACTGGTGCCCCTGGGGAGTCTCAGCATGGCAGAGCTGCTCTTCTGCGTGGGTTTTTTCCTGGTGTACCTCGTCGAGGAAACAGTTCACGCGACATTACCGAGTAAATCATCAAGACCGGAGAATCTCCTGTACAGGACAGTGTCGATCCGCAGGTGTTGTAACAAGCAGCTGCCAACACCTGTCTCAATAACGAGTATGTCAACGGTAACAGATGGTACGGTTGACAGATCGTGTTCATCAACTTGGGAGGCTGGTCCCTGTGTCCACGAGGAGGTGGAGAGAAAAATTGGGAGCCTCCCGGAGTTGGCGGGGCACAAGGGCAAAACGACGAGCTGCAGGGAGCAAAATTTGCCAGTGGTCTTCGTCCAATCGTCATCGATGGAGCCAAGTGGTGATGGACGAGAGGACGATCGATTTGTTCGCCCCCGGGGCTCATCCTCTCATCAGACAACTCAGAGGACTCATCAGCACACGGACACTTCCGCCCGGGGACTTCTTACTGTCGTCGCACTGTCCTTTCACGCGATATTCGAGGGACTCGCCGTTGGCCTTGAACCCGCTGTCACCTCAGTCATCTATCTCACAGCTGCCATTGCCACTCACAAGCTCGTCATCGCTTTCTGCGTTGGCATGGAACTCTACGTCACCGGGACATCCAGAAAAACTATCCTTGGGTATCTGTCGGTTCTGTCTGTAGTTACACCACTGGGGATTATCATTGGAGTTGTCCTCGGTCAATTCAAAAACGATAGCGATAATCTTGGACCTATTCCCACGATACTCCAGGGAATGGCTGCTGGGACACTCCTCTATGTCGTATTTTTTGAAGTTCTCGCGAGGGAACGCGCTAATGATAAGAGCGGACTTCTCCAGCTGATGGCTATCATCACAGGGTTCATGCTTATGCTCGGACTGCAATTGCTTAGTGAGTTCGGGATTCAATTAATTTCATTCCATTCATTTTTTCAGCAGGTACTCGTACATTTTTGGGAATAATGCTCTCGTCAATGTATATAATGTACTGACATTTGGAATAAATCGATCGGATCCACCTCCACCACCACGAGAGTGAAGTAAAAAATAGGTGAATTTTGCACTCAAGGTGGAAACTTTATTCAGGGTCACGTTTTGATCCTGCTAAAAAGTCACGGTCACACGTGCATCGCGTGCACCGGAATTATTCGATATTGATTATACAGTTGAGTTGATCGTAACACATTTCAATGGAACACTGAATCCCATTTCGATGAAAAATTCGATGAAAAAAAAATGAAATTTTGAGATTCAGTGGTTCATTCGAATCTATTACGTCGATCATTCGGGTTGCAATATTTATTTTTTTCATAGAGAATTGATACACCGTTTTCTACGGGATATAATTTTCCGGTTGTTTAAGGGTTTGGGGCAGGGGGTATCGATTCAACAACCCCTCAGAGTGCTCCTCAATATCCGAGAGACGAGGCTCACAATTATTCACACGAGAAATATTGTCTGCTCCTGAATAAATGAATTTTCGTGGATTTTCGAAAAAGAATGTCAGAGAAAAAAATTTTTGGAATAAATAAAAAAGTGAAGAATACGATTATAATCGCATGGAGCTTTCTCTGCCGGTGGCATTACAGGCCCGAGGTCAATGGACCCATCGACTCATCGACCGACTTTCAATCAGCTTTCCTATCAGATGAGATTCCTAATAAACGCTTGTCTCTTCTAGGGCTCTTCTCCGAGAGAAGTTGGACTCGATTCCTCGGAGACGGTTTTCAAATTTTTCCACTTCGCACTTCATCATTTTTTTTTTGTGTGAAAATTTTGTTCAATTGATAATAAAATAATGGCTTGGGCCTTTAATTATTGTTTATCGGATTTCAGCATCGCATGCCCATTCGCACAGTCATGGGCACTCGCACGGGGATGCTGAGGGTGATGAACACGAGTCAGAACATCATCACGATCATGGGGATGGGGATCATGTGCACGCTATCACCGGCACGATCGAGAGATTGTCCTCGACAGTGGCAGAGGCTGTGACCAAAGCAATTATGACTTCAAATACTGAGTCATGAGTTCGGAACACTTCACTGGTGAAACGATAAAACGAGATGAGTTCCAATCAAATGACGAACAGGTGCCGAATTATTCGTTATCTGGATTCAGGGATATTTATGGAGAAAGACTCGACTCATTTCGTTTCAACAATTTGTCATTGACTTGATAATAATTCTCTCCGAGTTTCAATTGGTTCAGAGACCTCGAGAAATTTTTACTCATAGTTATGAACTCCTTTTTACTCCTAGTTATGAAAAAGGGATTTTTTAAGTAAATAATGTATGAGGTGTTTGGGGATGAATATTCAGGGGAAATTGAGAATTGTTGGAATTTTGTACAGATTGTTATTATCCTTCTACGCAGCTAAAGAAAAGTCTGCACGTGTGAAAAAATTTAATAGACAAATGTTTTTTCTATTAATTTCTTTTATACGTGGAACGACAAAGTTCACCGCATTTATGTAGGTCTTAGTTAACACATTTCACGATCATTGTGATAAGGATCCTCCAGAGGATAACATATAACGATATAAATATTTTTTTAATAGAACGATGATTGAGGCGTACGAATTAGACTGACGATAAACATGAGTCTGGGATAATTTTCTGGACTGTGTTCTATTGTACATAATGAATCAGTTGAAGTATTTTTCTTCCATCGTTGTTAAATAGTTCCAGAATTTGTCTGCTGATCGTTCATCGATCGGTCATTAATACGTCGGGGTATTATTTATACTTATATTATTCGTTAGAGTAGTTTTATTCTGTTTTATTCATGCCATCGTTCAAAGTAATGGGGATAAACAAAGCGCGGAACGATTCATTAGACTTATGACAATTTGATCGATCGATCGAACTAATCGGACAAGAGTACAAATTCAAGGTAATGCTGTACGAAAAACATGAAAAAATAACTCGGTTATACACAACAATAAAGAATTTTATTATTATAGTTCATAATATTTGTGTGGTTATTTATTTTCAATCTCGTAAACACCTATCGTCGTCTGTCAAATTGCTTACTTCTTTGCGACCTGGCTGTCCACGAATTCGAGGTAGTTGTGGCCAATTTTGATGGCAGCCAGACCAGTCCCAAGACCAGCTAGGGTCGACACTGTTGGGTTTGGTAGCATAATTGATCGGAGCACTGCCCATACCAAAACAGATCCGAAACTCAAGAGGAGAGCGCCAGTTATACTAAAATACAATCGACCTGTCATTTGATGTCATCGATGTTATGAATAAAAAAAAATCGGCATTTTCTCTTGAAAAATTCTGGGCATAATTCAAAAGATTATCCATCCCGAGCCTAAAATAATTAATAAGTCAAAATAATAAAATTCACCTGTAGGTGATCCGGGCCCCCGTGGGGGCTGCTCTCATGTGTTCCCTGGTGTAGAGATAGGATCCAGTCCCTAGTAAGGCACCCCCCAGCAAAAAGTTGGTGATATCCACCTTAGGAAAGACTCTGGCCAAAAATTCCATAAACAGGTTATGAAATTCTCAAGAAACATTGACAACACGATTGCGTAATCCCGTGGCGTACCCCAGAGAATGAACTAGTGAATGGACAAGGGCATCGATGGAAAACTCACCTCATGACGAGAGTTGGGTTCATGACATTGACAGAGAGTCCCATGTAGGCACCAACTCCGAAGCAGGGTGCGTAGAATTTGACTAGACTGCATTTGGTCACTGGACGAAGTCCAAATTTTCCCAGGGCCTTGCTGTCGGCTGAATCTCCAGACCCGGCCATTTCAGGTTCAATAGCAGAAGCACCCGGCGATTTAACAACCTTAGGTTAATTTAAAAATATATCAATTCTTTCACTCGTACCTCGATGATTGAACGACCGAGAATTTCTCTCAGAATTTTTTTTATTACTCGAGCGACGATGAAATTGAAATGAACTGGATTTCCTGACTGGATTTCACTGGCGAATATCCGAGGAGTGAAGAGAGCATGAGCTCATAAACGAGAACAATTGGGTGGTGGCGCTGGTGGACGTATCCAAAAACATTTCCCGGTTATTTAGATTGTTGGTGGAGGTTGTGTTGATTAGTGTTTATCATGTCGCAGAATAATCATTCGAAAAGGAAAAGACCCGATGGGGAGAGCTCTGACGAGGAAGATGACAGTGAGTTCCTTGTTCAATTTTTTTCATTACAAAATCTGAGGGATTTTCCTCATTTTTGTTGTGAGGTTATCTTTCTCGTGAGAGCTTCACGGTCTGTGTACTGACAACGAATTGTTCCTGAATAGGTGCTGAGGCCACTTCCACCAAGACAGGACCTCCTCGTCTCTGTCCCTACCTGGACACTATAAACCGACAGTTCCTGGACTTTGATTTCGAGAAATTGTGCTCGGTGTCTCTGTCTCGTATCAATGTGTACGCCTGTCTCGTTTGTGGAAAATATTTTCAGGGGAGAGGAACCAATACACATGCCTATACCCACAGTGTTGCTGAGAGTCATCACGTCTTTCTGAATCTCCACACGTTGAAGTTTTATTGTCTCCCAGATAATTATCAAATCGTTGGTGAGTTGAGAGACGACCTCAAAAAATATTATCTCGCCAATTTGAAATATTGTGAAATGATTCTTTGCCTGGCAGATTCGTCGTTGGATGATATAAAATATGTACTCAATCCAACATTTAGTAAGACTCAGATTGTTCAGATGGACAGGACGGATAAACTATCGAGGGCTATCGATGGCTCGATGTATTCTCCAGGAATCGTGGGGATGAATAATATCAAAGCGAACGATTACTGTAACGTTGTTTTACAGGTGCGATGAAATCCATTCCCCCGTATATGCCAAATTCATTTTTTTTACTGGTACATTCTTTTGGCGTATTTCAGGCTCTATCCCACGTCAGTCCTCTTCGAGATTTTTTCCTGAGAGAATCCAATTATTCCAAAGTGAAGAGGCCCCCTGGAGACTCCTCATACCTTCTCGTCCAAAGATTCGGGGAATTGATGAGAAAGCTGTGGAATCCACGAAATTTCAAGGCCCATGTGAGCCCCCACGAAATGCTCCAGGCGGTGGTTTTGTGGAGTAAAAAGCGGTTTCAATTCACAGAACAAGGTAGAGCATTTCGTAAAATAGAAATCTTGGAATTTTTGTTTAATCGATTGATTTCAGGGGATCCTGTGGATTTTCTCTCCTGGTTTCTCAACGCTCTCCATCTTGCCCTCAACGGCAGCAAAAAACCCAATTCAAGTATTATTTATAAGACGTTCTTGGGGCACATGAGGATATACACCCGCAAGATTCCACCCCTCGAGCTCGAGGAGAGCCAGAGAAGTGAGTTATTAAATACAGTTGAGTACGGTGAGACAGTCACAGAGAGTCCTTTTTTGTATTTAACTTGTGATTTGCCACCTCCACCACTTTTCAAGGATCAATTCACGGAAAATATCATTCCCCAGGTGAGATACAATTCATCCGTTTATGAAAAATCATAGATCACGTCTATTTAATTTTTTTACTCATGCGTGAATTTCAGGTCAATCTCTACACACTCCTGAATAAATTCAATGCAGTCGCAGAGAAGGAGTACAAAACGTACAAAGAGAATTTCATGAAACGATTTGAGATTACAGAGCTGCCACCTTATCTAATTCTGTACATAAAAGTGAGTGGATATATTTCCACTTCCTCTTTTTCCAAATTTATTCTGAGGTGTATAATTTTCTTTTAATTCACAGAGATTTACAAAGAACACATTTTTCGTCGAGAAAAATCCAACAATCGTGAATTTTCCAGTCAAGTGAGTCCCATCGTATTATTCTATTATTTCTTGGAGTAAATTAAATCTTATTTAATATCTGCATCATTCAGAAACGTCGACTTCGGGGATATCTTGACGCCAGAGGTCAAGGAGAAGCATCCGTGTTCTACATACGACTTGATCGCAAATATTGTTCACGATGGAGAACCTGGCCAGGGCACCTACAGGGTCCACATTCTGCATAAAGCAACTGGCCAGTGGTACGAGCTCCAGGATCTCCATGTCACGCCAATTTTACCTCAAATGATAACTCTCACCGAGGCGTACATTCAAGTGAGTTAAGCGATAAAATGAAAATATAAAATTTAATTCACCCATAACAGGGAGTATTTATAGAGCTTCCATAATCCATAATGTATCGATCGATCAATCAACTACTTGTATTAAAGCCAATTCTCCATCCTCCTTTCAAACACTCATTATTTCTTCCAGATTTACGAACTTCGTGAGGAGGACGGATCATCAGAAAAATCGAAATAATACCAAAATCATGTACCTAAATAAAGTCGAGATATACATTTTTGATTGACGTATTCCCCATACTGTGTCTGTTTATTTAAATGGACTGTTACCCTTTACCCCTTCGCTACTGTTTTTTTCCTCAGGTTGAAAAAAAAAACGGAGTAACAATCGCAGTGAGATGAAGGTCAGTAGGTCTGCACTGAGGATCGACGCGGGGTCATGCTCCGAGTCCGTTCTCCAGGGAAAAAAATGAGAGAAAAAAATTCCTTTAAAAAAAAACTGTTACCGATGAAACATTGAATATGAATAACTACGAGATATATCTAGCGGATGAGTATAGCACCTCCAGATCGAGATAACGCAGAGGATTTATATGAGGAGATGATTAATGTGTAACTATCGAAACATCAATTATCATTCCTATAAAATATTCACAAATGCATTCGCAAATGCAACGAAAAAATAAAAGAAAGATGAGAAGAATGCGAGATGAACGGCGGAACGCGTGGATCGGCAGTCGTCGTTGTTCTGAAGATATTTCCACCGTTCCTCCTGTCAGCCCCGAATTTTTCACAAGCGCAACTTCAAGTGGTTGAGAAATTTAGGAGACAAAAGTGTCTATAGCAACGAAGGTGTTGTTAGTGGGGGGTTTGGGGGACAAGTGGAGGGGAATAGCGTCGCGCCAAGCGTGTCCCAATGGACGAGGGACGATTGAAGTCAACGGTGAAGGCACATTGCTGGCTTTTCCTTACTTTTGCTCTATGACACTTTGGTGTATCCATTTGCATGTTTACTCCTAACCAACAATACCCCCATTTATCATCAATTTATTCATGTCCCCCCTTAATTGAGTGTTTAGTGAGTTGAGTGTTATTGCCAGTGAATTCTTGACAATTCGATCATTCGTGCGAAATTGGATTATCATAATTTTTATCATCGGGGGAAGTGTCTCCTGTATTCTGTGAGTACCGTACGTAGACACGTGCATGAAATAACTGTTCAAATATTCGATCTCTAGGGATATACCATGGAATAACGGTGAGAATTCCAGGTATATCATTATCGTCGAGGGATGGAGAATTTTAACCGCTCGGTGACACATTTTTCGGAGGTTTCTCCTTGGATTTCCCTTTCTATTATTACAAAACATGTTACACCCCAATCATCCGGGTCGCTTTCAGAATTCCTTGAGGATTCTGGGACTCTGCACACTTTTTAATTCATCAGAACATTCATGATTCTCAGCTGAAATCATGGGTTAAAAATTCTAATGAATTATCCATTCATCTGGAAGACTATGTTATCGGTTTCAGGAGAAAATGTGGAAAAAATTTTTCTCTGGGTAATTAAATTTTCGAGAAGAAGGGGCTCTTGTTATTTTTTTTTATCTTGTAAAAGCAATAGTTTATATAATCAATTGATACTTAACAAAACAGGAAAACTCAACTTTCGTCTTATCTTTTTGAAACTGAATAATTTATTGTGAATTGTGAGTCTTTAGGAGTAAGTTATGCAGGAAAATATAGGGGAGAGGGGCCTGATGCACCGCTGTTATGGGACAGGTGGAATCGAAAGCCATTAGGATGATGCCACAGGATGATTCATTTTAGTATCCACCGATCTACACCCATTCGAGTTAAAAATTCCTGACCTCTGATCTTAAGGGAGAAATATTTCGGAGTACAAAAATAGATATTGAGCGGTTTCACAGGGTTCTGGGATATTCCTGAATGCCCAAATATTTGTCATCGTCGGATCTCCGTGAAATTCATTTGACGAGGATTTCGCGCGCTTGTTAAATGCTCTTTGGAGGAATAATTACCGTGGAAAACAGAGCTCGATGATTCATCTGGAATTTCCACTGGAAAAAAATAACATTAAAATTCAGGGAATGATCATTTTATCGGGTTAAATAAATTTTCACCGGTGCTAGAATAATTTTTTTGCGTCGAACAAAGCCATTTCTTCACTTATTTTCCACATGGTCTCTACATCCGTGTGGACGCACAAGAGACGCATGTGAAGTGCCACTTTCCCACGTTGGGATTGCAGATGTAATCAAAAACGCATTGTACTGGACTATTTAGAGAAACTAGTTCAAGAGGTAAATTCACTGGGATAGAGCCAGAAATTTCGATTGTTGGGGCGAAAGAAACTGGCTTGGAAAAAGGACAAAAGGGAGACGATTACAGGTGGAACGGTTTCTCTATCCCAGAATCTCCATTATTTTTTCCAGTTTCCTGTGCACATTCCAAGGTGAATCGTAATAACAACTTCCGGAAGCAACATTACGTTGACATTCGTGTATGTTGTGATAGGCCAGATGATAGTTGGGAGGGTTTGTATTTGTGAGAAAAATTCATCAGAGTAACTAGTGCAGGCAATGAAGCGAGCGTAAATGCGTTGTACGTTACATCCTCATTAATAATTCAGCATCGCCCTCCATCGTAATTTATATACCAGTGGATATGTTATACTTTTTCGCGGGTATTCTATTAATTTTGCCAACAGCCGCTGTCAGCTCTACAGCCAGAAAAAAAATTGCGTGAAACACTGGACGGAAAAATTGCATTTGTCAAAGAATATTCGAGAGGTGGAAATCGTGAGCAATTTTTTCTTGATTATTCAGTTATTGATGAATAAATGATTTACAATCTGAAAATAATTGCACGCAGACATATCGATCCCTGGGTTAATTATAAAAATTCGTTAACTCATATATTCCTGTGGTGTGCAGAACGTCCGGGTTGTGTTCATTGGGGAGTAAAGGGAGAGGACGCCTCGAGGATATGGTAGCAGGTGCGTGCCAGTACTCGACTGCTGCGACCCTCGAATGAGTGAAAAAAAAAAAATTTTAAAAACGAGCACAGCATAAATTCACTTGACGTTCCGCTCATATTTTTTCGGTTCAATCTTGCCTTTCGCAACTATAAACAAAATTTTTTTTTTCACACGTTTCATAGGATTTGGATGCAATTCACATAAAAAGATCAGAATAACCACTGGATGTTAGTATTTTATACGAGAAGCAGTGAAATGTTGATGATTAAATTATTGAATTGCGACGTAAATTTGACTCCTCTTTGTTTTTTAGTTGAAATAGCAGACTCATCCCCAGAGAGTGTTCTGATTGCACGTGCTGTAACGATGGGAGCGTCAGGTCTCTGTAATAGAATAGCCCGTTAGAAGAATAACGGCCGACAATGGTTGAAAGGAAGAAGCGTCAATGTCATCGAAGTACGTTGCACTACATACACATCATGGCAAGATAGTCCAGTGAATAGTATGACGGGCTATTCAGATCCACATTTTGTTAGGGCACTCTCTCGTGATCCAGACAGGCGGACACTCCAGGTGAATTAAAATAAAATCATCTACCCTGACCTCACTTATTGCAACAGGGAAGAAATTTCCATAATGAAAATATAAAAAATAAAAAGAGCGTATAACATTGTTAGAGTACGCCACAGTGACACGTTCTGCTCTATTTATTGAAATCAAGGTCTCTCATTCGTAAATCAAATATTCCATAATTTATTTGCAGGATCTCCAGATCATTTACTACGGATTACTTGGACTCGAGGCATTACGACCATGCAGAGACTCACTTCTCCGTGAACTCTGCAAGATTGTTAGATATGAGAGGCATCACGCGAATGATGTGTTGTATTAGTGAGTACTCGTCAATGTTTACAGTGGGTAATGATTGGAGAGATTGCACTCAGAGAAAAAAAAATCCTATCAATTGAAAAAAGATTCATAGATAATGTTGAGAGTAATAGACAATTTCCGTGAAGGGTACGTGGGGAATACGATAGATTGTTGCTTTGAAAGGAGTTCCTCAGTTCTCATTTAATGGAACTGGTGGGTATCTTTGGGTATTCAGTGGACCAATTTGTCAATTGAAAGATTCAGAGGGAATTATCATCTTAAGAATATTCGCTAATGGCTGAATCATCGCATTAAAATCTCATGAAGTATTTATTCAATTTTATTGTGAGAGTAATAAATCTGGTCATGGCTTTGACGCTCTGGGTGATGGAAAGAAATTATGGGATGACCGATACAATCTTTCTGGCATTTTTTTCCTCATTCTGTAAGGGTATTTTGAAATTCTGGTGAAATTGTGTTTTAGTACCGGTGAATTGGCTAGCAGTTGGTACATCCTTCTTTCCGGTTCAGTTTTCATCGATGGATCTATGTTTTTGCCTCGCTCAAGGTAAGAATAATTAATGCTGTACCTCGAGGATATCAGTTTACTCACGTGTTCATGGACTGTTGGGCATTTCAATGGCATACTAACGCGTGTAATACTCATTTTTCCCCCGATTTCAACCCTCATTTACATTCAAATGCCGGTATTATCGTATTATACACATAATCCAGCCGTCTCTTCTCTCCATCCCCATTCCATTTTTTTTATTTGAAATTTTCTGATTGAATTCTTCTGGCTGGTAAATAAAGCCTAGCGTTACATAGCGCATTATCGATTTCCAATGGGGGATGCGAATGAAACTTTAACGCTCTCTTCTCATAAGCTATATTCAGTGCATCGATTTAGCAGCGAACGATGAAATTGAACTGCATTCCTGTCTCGGGCTTTTTAAAACTGTTTTTTATATTCTCTGTGGTAAAATATGCAAGCTCATTCTCTCAAAGGATGGCACTTAATTTTTATTAATATTTTTTGATATCTTTCACAAAAATCAAAAATTTTCACTGTGCATTGCCAACAAAAAAAAAATCTGTCTGTGGAGTTGGTCGATTTTCACGAAAGTTTCGTGGAGTGTTGGGCGAACTGATACATTTAACTCTGGAGAACTGTCGGAAATGTCCAGAAAACTATAGCACGGTGACAGCAACTCCATATTGAATGCTCAGTGAATTAATTTTGAAACTTACTCCTCTTGTTTCAGCTTTGGCAAGCGAACCGGTGGAAATCCTCGACGCCCTAACGAATGTTTCGTCCTTGAAGCCTCTGAAATGATAGCCGTGAGTCCATTTCATTCGATATTAAAAGGGATATAAATACCTCGGGAATTGATTGAATATTTGAAATTGGTCAATATTCTGGAAAAATTAATGATTGGACTTTTAAGTTTAGATTGGACTGGAGAAAAAGGAGAAAGTCGTTTGCTTTCATTTTCAGGCCCTCACCAATTCCAATCATTAAATCGTCCCCTGTGTTTAAATTTCACTCTCGATTTTATCGGTTTCATATAAGTCAGAGCATTATCTCAACGTTGTTAAAAGCTTAATGGCTGATATAAATACAGCTCCCGAATGACGCAATCATCAAACCGTTGTTTTGTCATTTTAGATTGATTATCCGGAAGAGCATGCAGGTGGAAAAATGTCCCGACCTTCGCACCCGCAACCTATTGGAGATGCTCGTCAGGTCAATTTCGTTTTCGACGACACGGTAAATATTCAATCTCAAATTTCTATTCATCTTGCACCCGGAAAATTTCAATCTTGCGTATCTTTCCGGGGTTTAGCAATAGTCAGACAAATTCCAGGGAGTCTACCCGGAATAAACTATTTCCGAGGCTGTTCTAATAACCGTTGCCACATCCGAGTTCCGGAAGTTGAAGACTCTCGGCATCGGAAGTTGCGGAATGTCGCGTGTCCCTTATAATAGAATCGTGAACTTCCAATAGAAAGAGATCAAATAAATAAATAGAGAGAATAGAGAATAAATCGAGAACTAAATCTTGTCGATCGTATTAAAACCTTGAAAGGTATCAAAAAAGTGAAAATGAAGAAATTATAATAATTTCACCTACACCCCTGGGACCCAGTTTTTTAATGAAGGAAAGTCATCTTTTTTTCCTGTATAGAATATAATTTTTCCATTGACCAAGTGTTGTCGGAAGTATTTCGAGTTGAGTCTGTGCAATACTGAATGCTCACTTGTCGATTAATCCTCGGAATAAAGCGCGCTGCAGGTTGCAGTGTAACGGGGCCTAGAGAATCATTAGTCGGGCGGGCAGTGGCCTCCCTACGTTCCTCCTGAGATCCTAGGAGTTCACTTCCCCTTCCCCAACACCTTTGAACAAGTATTCAGTTGCCGATCAATCTCCCATTTCCTAGGAAAGTGGAATGAATGTCTCGTGGTGATTCCGTGTGAGAAGGAGCCTCCATTTTTTATTCATTTCAGTATCCGATATTCTCTCCTCAAAAATTTCATTTTTATCCTCACATACAAATTACATGCATTTGTAAATTAATAAGATATGAGAAATATGTCCCCAAAAACGACTCGTTTCGAATTCTTGTAATATTTTCAAGCGAGTCTGTTCTCATTTAAAATTGGAATCAGTGCAATTCCCACGTGTAAATTAAATTAATCACATTTGACAAAAAAATTCACCGACCTGCTGACATAAAAAAATAATAAAAAAAAGGTCAAATTCATTCATTCAGCTTGAACGAAAGATTTTTGATCGGTAAATGGTACTGAGCTCGGCACCTGACGCGTAGAAAAACCGTGAAAGTGGCTGGAATTTCGTAAAAAGAAGCCACAGGTGCCCCAGAGTGGCTCCTGGGGCCCCGGGATAACTACACCCCTGTTTGCCTGGTCACATGACTGAAGTGGGATACGCTCGATGCGAGAGGAGTATGAGTATTAGTGTAACGTTGCGCGTTGCAAGAGGCTGTGGGGCTCGTTGGATTGGAGAGTAGTAATTGCCAGGCCATAGCCAAACCTCCAGGAGTAAAAGAGATAGCTGGTGGGGACTGAAAGGCGTGATGGGGGGGGAATGGGAAAGGGACGACGTTCGACGATGAACGGAGTAGCGCCGACCGACGACATACCCAGGCCAACTTTTCAGTGCGTTTATTGTTCGGTTGTGTTCCTGTTGTCCTCATAGAACCGCTAGTCTCGGTGGTCATGGGCCTGTGAGTGCTATCCAATTTTTTCCCTTTTTTTTTCTCACCAAACCGAGTGAAACAGTATTTCAAGAGAGTGGTTAGTGTTCTGGTGAAATGACTGTTTAATGCTGGACAAGCCCACGGGGACTGCTAGGATTTTTCGCTTGTGCATTAACGTGTACATAATTGCGGACCCGAGTGGGTAATGCGGGTGAAATAGAGCAAGGAACAGTACGAGTTTTATTCCGCATGCATCAGGCTAAATGTGTGATTATGGAGAGGCGAGTGGATGCATTATGGATTGCCACGAAGAATTGACGTTATTTTATTGGCAGTGATTGGTTTTTTTTTTGTATTTTTATTTTGATTTTCCAACAGTGGATTTTTAACAGCGATGGACACCTTCGGGATGTATCAAGTGAGTGTTTGGGGATTTTTTTCTTAATGGGGGGCAGGGAAAATGTCCTATTACAAAATGGCCTTGGCCAGACGCACCTCTCTGGTGGATTAGTTAAGATGCGGGGGCCTCGACGCATGCTACAAGCCTGTAGTTTTCTATCTACTCTTCCCTTTCACCAACAATGTTTTCCATCTTTTGCCAGGGGGAGTCAAATTGATCGAAATGCGCTTTCAGATTAATTCCCAATTGGTCGTGGCATTTATGAGAATTTATGGCTTTACCGTTTGTTTTTTTCGGGGCCAATTGTCATAGACTCGTGATTGTTTTTCGATGATCTCAGAGGATTGACAGGTTCTCGAAATTCAATATGCCAGGGCATTCTCCAGGGTAGCGATATTCTCCAACGAGTTGGATGTACCTTGTACACGATGACATGTTCAATGATTCTAACCTAACTTACCAATGCACCTCGATCCCAATCACGCCCATTCTCGGTATTTCCCTTCGAGGAATACGTTCATGACTGGAGGCAGCGCTTTCTAATCTCGTTCCGGGGATGAGGGGTTTGTTGTCCCCTGGGCTTTTTATAGATGGACAATCACGATTTATCGGTGATTTTTATTAAGAGAATGTAATTATTAGGTTCCCTGTCAACTCCCACATTAGGGAAGCAACATGGCGCAGTGACTTGCTCGTTTTACCGTATTGTTTTCATAAATTCTCACAGGAACCATTACAGCCTCGTACCTAAACAATCGCTGGAACGATGACTGATTGTTCGATTTTCATTGTTAGATTGTTACAATTACACGTCATTGGTCTCGATATGGACGTTGGTTTGCTTATTGCTGGGAAGTAGTCGTGTTGACTGAGGTTGATTGCATTTTGTAGGCGTATACCTCGGTTCTAATGCAAATGCGTAACGAAGATTAGGTTTGTTTAACTGGAACTGTGAGAAAGGTAATGCGAATGGTGGAGTTGACGTAATTTTTCTTTATGTGGGACTGGATGGTGTCCGGGTAAGGCACGTATGATAACGGATGATAATGAGATTTGTCAATCGAGGGAGGAATGGTACGAACGGAAATAATGATACGAGCGCTGGTTCAGTCGAGGAAGAGAGTTTTTAAGAGTTATTTGTTAAGTATTATTAGACAATTATTGTTACGGGGGGCTCGTTTGTTTTTAGTTCCCGCAGGGGCTGGCGGGTAGACCTGAGCTCTACCAAAAATCCAACAGGAGCAGTCACTCCAGTGACACTAGCTCGGCTTACAGCGGATCCGACACTATGACATCCGTACAAGGCTCGCTCGATGCTGATAACGATGAGGTGGATTTTTCTGGCCTCGTTGAGTCCATCGTTGATAGCGATGAGGAAGAGGATCTCGCCGAGAGCATGGACGTGAGTAAAATCAATGACCAATGTCCCTCAATGATTTTATTCAAACATGTAATTGTAAAATCACGGGCTATGACGGAATTTCAGAGCCTGACGGTTCGAGACACAGTTCGTGAATGCCTTGAAAAAGACCCGGCGGAACGAACGGAGGACGACATCGAGATCCTGTTGGAGTTTACTCAGCACTTGAAAGCCTTCACCAACATGACACTGGCAGTACGTCGAGCGCTGTGCGCTGTTATGGTATTCGCCGTTGTCGAGCACGCTGGTATGATCGTACTGAACGACGGTGAAGAGCTGGATAGCTGGAGTGTCTTGATAAATGGCGCTGTGGAGATTGAGCACAGTGATGGCTCGATCGAGCACCTCCACCTGGGCGACAGTTTTGGCATTCTACCGACTATGGAGAGACTTCTCCACAAGGGTGTAATGCGAACAAAATGTAATGACTGTCAATTTGTGTGCGTAACCCAGGCTGATTACTTTAGAATTCAGCACCAGGGTGAGGAGAACACGAGGAGGCACGAGGAGAATGGCAGAGTGATTCTGGTGACGGAATTGCGGGGGGCCATAGACGGTGGCAATCGTCGGGGTCACGTTGTCATCAGAGGCACCCCAGAGCGACTGATGTTGCAGCTGATCGAGGAGAATAGTATAACAGATCCGACATATGTCGAGGATTTTTTGCTGACCCACAGGACGTTTATTGAGAGCCCCTTGCTCGTGGCAGATCAACTTCTCGAGTGGTTTTCTCAGGCTCATGTACGAGATCGTGTGGCACGAGTCGTCCTCCTCTGGGTCAATAATCACTTTACGGACTTCGAGACAGATCCTGCCATGATGGAGTTCCTGGAGGCCTTTGAGAGTGGACTTGAACGTGAGAAGATGTTGGGCCAGCAGAGACTACTGAATATAGCCTGTGGTGCTAAAGCAAGAACCAGAAATGTCACCCTGGCCAGGCCCACGCGGGACGAAGTCCTCCACTTCAGTATCCTGGGAGGCTACGAGAGGGGTTACGGTATTTTCATTTCGAAGGTGGATAAACGATCGAAGGCTGAAGATGTGGGTTTGAAACGTGGTGATCAGATTCTGGAGGTGAATGGCCAACGATTTGAGCACTTCAGTCATGCCAAAGCCCTCGAGTTGCTCAGGAGCTCGACACACCTGAGTATAACTGTTAAATCAAATTTATTAGCCTTCAAGGAAATGCTTCAGGCACCTGACAATTCACCGAGACCTCGAGGAAGAGCTGGTAAGCCCGAAATAACGAGGATTCAACCGGATCCTCGAGCAAGATTGTCAACCCACGTTGATCCCCTCTTGAACACTCAGCTGAATCCCCTGGTTGGCGGGGTTCCGCTCTTCACAAATGACAACAACGTGTCCCCCTGTAAGGATCCTAAAAAAGAACACAAAGGATTCATGACACTGGGACCCAAGCGCAGATTCCAGAAGGCTCTCATGAAGATGAATATATTGCCAAAGAACACTATAAACTCTGGAGCGCACGCTGATGATTCTCTGGCACCTCCTCACACACCACCTGGCACTGGACTATCCCAGACAACGAATCTATATCACTCGAGGAGTAATCCTGATTTAACGTCAGTCTATTGCTACGAGGATTCACGTGCCCCTGATTATCCTGAGCACGTTCTCAAGGTGTACAAGGCCGACCAGACGTGCAAATATCTTCCTGTTCACAAGGAGACAACTGCCCACGAGGTAGTGATGCTTGCATTGCAGGAATTCGGCATCACCGAGAGCAGCTCGAATTTTTCACTGACGGAGGTCAGTGTGGGAGAGGGGGGGATGATAAAGCAACGAAGACTGCCAGATCAATTGCAGAATCTTGCTGAGAGAATAGGCTTGAATTCAAGGTATTACCTGAGGATAAATGGAGTGTCTGAGACACTTGTGGCTGACGATCAGGCACCTGAACTCATTCGTGAATCTCAAGTGCACTTTCTACAATTAAATGCTGTGGAAGTGGCGATACAATTGACATTACAAGACTTTAGCATATTTCGACAAATTGAATCGACCGAGTACGTCGATGATTTATTTGAACTCAAGAGTAGGTACGGGGTACCTATGCTCAGCCAATTTGCTGAACTAGTCAACAGGGAGATGTTCTGGGTGGTGACGGAAGTGTGCTCCGAGCATAATCTCGTGAGGAGGAGTAAGATTATTAAGCAGTTTGTTAAAATTGCGAGGCAGTGCAAGGAGTGCAAAAATTTCAATTCAATGTTTGCTATTGTTTCGGGGCTTGGCCATGGGGCTGTATCGAGGCTCAGGGCGTCATGGGAAAAATTACCAAGTAAATATCAGAGGTTGTTCAGTGATCTCCAGGAACTCATGGATCCCAGCAGAAATATGAGCAAGTATCGACAGCTCGTTGCCTCTGAACAAACACAGCCGCCTATTATTCCCTTCTATCCAGTTGTTAAGAAAGATCTGACATTCATTCATCTGGGGAATGACTCCAGGGTCGAGAGCCTTGTTAATTTTGAAAAACTCAGAATGATCGCCAAGGAGGTGAGAACCCTGACGAATATGTGCTCGTCTCCCTATGATTTGCTCACAATGCTTGAGAGAGGCGGACAGCCCCCCAGCTCAGCTATGGTCGCCCTCAATCAGATGACCACTGCCAATCAGGGTGGCCAGACTGCCACCGTTAAACGCAGAAAGAAGTCCACAGCTGCACCCAACTCGAAGAAGATGTTCGAGGAGGCTCAGATGGTCAGGAGGGTCAAGGCTTATCTTGGCAATATGAAGGTCATTACCGATGAGGAACGTTTGCATTCTCTATCTGTTGAGTGTGAGCCACACGCAGGGGCTGTGCCGGCTGTTGCTGCTGCTCCTCATGGTGGCAGCAGAGGCAGAAGACATCCCTCACCCACTCTGTCCACCACCAGCAGCGCCAGTAGTACAAGTGAGGGCAGAAAAAGTATTCAAGGTGTTTCTCATTTCTATCGAATTGCGGTTCTTTCGGGATTTGCCGGGGACATCCTACAATGGATGAACTCTTTATATTCCTTTATAATTATCAATCACTGGGGATATTTAACTTGATATTCATAACTATTGTTTATTTTTTAATTATTCATTTAATTTGCCAGAAGTGATAATTTATTGATAATGTATAGGTACAAAATTCGGTGCCGCATCTCCCCAAGCTGTCCGAAAGATGTTAGCCCTCTCCGATCCTCACAAGACAAGGCCGTACCAGCCAAAACACTGTCCTCCCATCCTTCCAGTTCCTGGATTGAGCCTACACTCCAGTGGTTTGGAGCCAAGCCCTGGTGCCCCTAGAAGGGTGGCCACAGGCACTCGTGTGCCAATGCACGAGAGATCCCACAGTGATACACCGTCTGGTCTTCCACCTCCAGTTGATCTGAGTGCTGAGAGCAGCAGTGTCACCAGCCTCAGCAACCTCCAGCCCCTCAGGAAAACCTTAACCAGTGGTAAGTTCAACTCACCTCTCTATTCACTCCTATTTTCGTCCAACTAGTTTCGACCTGACTAACCGAGGGACAGCTTTCACACTTGTCTTGGCCCATGGTGCACTCGAGACTCGCTATTTTAGTAATCCGCAGTTAGAATTTTCTTTATAGGGCAAAAGGTCAAAGTGGACGCAATCCATTTTTTTTTTCACAGTATAATCTGTATAATAATCCTCATTCAATATTCGTTCAAATAATTTCGTTTCATTTTTCTAATTTGCTTTGATAAAAAAACATATCTGTAGTCCATTTTGCCCCAGCCGTCCCACCATTCGCTTCTCCCCGAAATCACGACTACAGCGGAATCCCGTTGAATACCCGCTTCTATGAATTTAATGAAAGCAAAATCAAAATAGTGAAAATATTATTTTTCCCGTAAAAATTCGCGGACTTGTGGCGCGCAGTTGGATGGAGGAGGGCTCCATTCAAGTATTCATTTGTGAAATCGATGTGTTTGCATCCCCTGACGCGGGTAATTAACGTCAGTCCACTGTAGGCACAACAACTAAATAACCGAGACTCAACCCTACGCACATCACGTCATCTCATAATAAACTGAATATTTCTAATAATTGTATGAGTGGATTTTCACCGTGCGACGAGTACTTGTGTGATTATTTTGAAAATCCAGACAATATTCGAAATAGTAAAGACCACCATGGGACATACGAGAGTAAAGACTAGGATATGAAATGAGATGGTAAAATGATAAATTGCATAAGAGGTTGTTGTTGGTATGTTGAATGGTGTTGATGGATGAATTTTGGGGCATTTGTGTAGGTTCAGTGACAAGCAGTGACAGTGGTCATAGCACTCAATTGGACAGTCACAGTGGTAGCAGTGTAGAGGCTGGTGGAAGTCCACCACTGCCACAAAGACGACACTCCTCCATGCAAGGTACGTTACACTGTACAGATTAAGCGCATTAATGCTCATTTATTCTCTGCTGTGAGAAATTCTCAAGCGAGAACGGATACGAGTAACTATGAGAGAAGCCTTTAATACTGCTGCTTTTGTGGGATCGCAGCCAAACCTAATCTGCCGGGGACAGATATTTAATGTTTCGCCATCAGAGACGTTCTCTCGAACGTCATAATGTACATTTTACGTATAGATTATGAATTTCGTATCTCCCATGGTAACATCTCACAATTTTCTCCATAACACCGAGGGATACTGCATTCTCCCCACGATGTGGTGAACCTTCTCAGGGATTTCCATTCATCCTGATGCTTTTCACGTTCTCTGATAGTGCTCGACTATTGTTGAGGCCATGAAACCTACCCAGAGTCCTTGAAACGAATTTATAAAATACTTGTACTTATTTCAATTAATTTTTTATGGAAAAATGAAAAAAAAAATCGTTTTTGAGAGTCTGGAGGAGGTTTGATGGATGATTCCATAATGATAAATGACTGGAATAGAGCTGGGAGCAGTGCATTGCCTAAACGATAAAGTTGAAGAGAGTACGTGGTGTGTATGTAATGCAGGACCTATTCGAGGAGGACTACCTCCCTTCCCCCACGCAGTAGCAGTGCTACCTCCGCTTCCTGCTGCCCAGAACCACAATCATCTTCATCATCATGCTCATCACCATCAGCAACACCATAACCAACAATCCCAACTTCCTGGAGGTGAGTGATCTCCATTACCTGATAAATATCCATGCTTTCGTTGCCTCATTATTCGTCATTGACATTGCACCCTGTCCACTGATAACTAACACGGCTAAACCATGATCGTGCTATCAGCTGTGTTGTGTTGATTTGCTTTGGCTAAAAAGATTTTAAAAAAAACTACTGCATACTAAAATAAAATACTGCATTGTCGTTGCTTGTGATGGATTTGAACAGCTCACAGATTTGTGTTGGTCTTTTCTCGTATCCCCCAGTCGTTTGTAAACTATTCTGTGTATTACGGGCAGGTGACCTCCTTCGGGCCACCAATTAACATGGATTTTAATAATTAATTAAGAGAGAGTACTCCGATTGTCGCACTCACTGCGTGGCCGAATTACGATAACAATGAATTTTGTGCGAATGAGTGGGCAAAATTGAGCGTTAATCGTCATCGAGGGAGAATTTTATTGTTCTGGAATTGATGCGCGAAGGGAGATTATTTTTCATAAGGATACAGAGAAAAACAAAACGAGACAGTCGAGGGATTTCAGGTACTGGTGGAGCGGGAATCAGTGTGGGACTTCATCATAGTGGAGGAACTTATCTGATGACAAATAATATCGTGGGAAATCCAATGAATATGATGAGAGCAGGACTGGGTCCGGTACAGTGTCGTCAACCACCTGCGTACAAAGTAGCTGCACAGATGGCCAGATTACACAGGCTAGGTCGTGCTCACAGCCACGAAGGAGTTACCTACCGCACCAATCATGATGATGGTACTAGCATTAACGCTACACACTTTACAAGTTCATTATTTCACACTTGCTTAACTCATGTATTCTTACCATTTTTTTTGGGGACATGTCGTTTTATCAGCCACTGATATCCTGGCATATTCATATCCTAATATATATATATATATATATACCAAAAGAATTGATCTTCCCCGTCCAGGATATCATAACCAAAATATTTCGGCATGGTCTTAATTTTTGTGTGTTTACGCTACGGTTGTGGGTTATTAGTTACCCTAGGCTCTTGGATTAGTGGTACCTCGTGTAAATAGAGAAGGCAGTGGATACTCGGTCGCCATTCTGAAGGTTTTCTCAATTTTTCTGTCCTGCATGTCATTGGGAATTCTAGACAAATGGAACGGTGGAAGTTTTCAATTAATGGTAAATTGGCTTTGTGTCTAACATCTGTCATGAATATTGCCCTCGGAATATTCCTAAAGCAATGAAAATAATTGATGCAAGAAACATGAAGTTGAGAAGAAGAAATGATAAAGGAAGGCGTTGGAGCTGCTGGAGAAAAGGAAATTATAATTCCACCACAGAGCGTAATGATGCGAACGATCATTCTATTCTGTTTTATATTTATTTATACCGAATTATCGCACTGTAATATATTAAATTGATGGCGAGGTATAAATAACGCCGGAAGTATCCCCTCAGGCCGCTTTTTCTTCCACTTTCTTCACCGACAAAGCCCGCATACTAGCAACCAACCCATTTACCTTTATGCTTCACTTACTAGACGACATTCTATGCATATTTGAGAGAAAGTTGAACAATACGGTTGGCAGAATCCTAGCATGCTAGAAGTGAGAAATTTAATGATCGTAGATGATAATTCTCCCCGTGTGTGTGTCAAAAATGCTCATTCGTGTTTGTTTGCAGAAATAATAGCATTATCACAGCGATGAGAGGGACTGTGGCATTCCCTTAACGATAAATATTGTGTGTTACAGATGACGAGGATACACAAGTGTCAGCAGTCTAATTGGTCCTCGGAGGGAATCTCGATTATGTCTTCTATATTTTCTATTTAATCCCGATGGGAGGAGTCGAGAGAGTCGTGTTAAAATGTAATATTTACTTGAGTACAAAAACGATAAGAGACTAAACCACGTAAATTCATAGGAGAGGATACTGATAATCTTGCCAAAAACTAACATGCAGGATTAGAAATACTTTTTTTTTTAACGGAGGGACCCCATTCGTTAAGTCATTTTTAAAGACATTTTCTTTTTTTTCACCACTTTTATTATGAAAAAAATCACTATGGTATTGACTATTTAACATTAATATCTCGATTTGCATGGATCATATCCACGAGAAACGTGAAATTCGAGATAATGAGGGAAAAAAGTGAGAAGGGTGCACCAAGAGGAAAAACTGATTTTGACAAAGAAAATTCAATGAATAGAGAAAAATGTTTGTTTTTTCTTGTGAGAAATAGTTTTTGTCCGATGACGGTGTTCCCCATGAATGTGTAATAAATTGAATCCAAAGATGTTATATATCGTGTAACGGGAGGAACGCGGGAGCGTATGTATCATATTGAATATTAGTACCGAAATCCTTTTAAGAACAACGTAACTCTGTAAGTTGGTGTAAATAACCCTAGTAAATATAGATAGATCAAGCCGAAGAGAAGATTATAGGTTTATTCCGCGAAATTAAGAGTCGTCCCCTATAGTTTATATTTTTTATTTTTCTTTGGTGAAAATGATGGTGTGGGCGCAACAGAATGTATTTTCAAGGAGATTAATTTATTTATGCATGAGGAGGTTAATGCAGACTGCGATCTGTAAGCGATGAAAATTTTGTTATTTTATCAATTTTTTTATGTAGTGTGTAACGACTTAATTAGATGTCAGTGTATTGATAAACGGAAAACAAAGAAAACGGACCTAATTACTATTGAGAAATACTCAACGTCCGCCGGCCGCGATCGAGACCAGGAAATTTATTATGATGTTATCGATGTTTTTAATCCATGATATCGTGTGCATAATTTTCAGTTTGAAAAATTTCAAGGTACGGGATTTAATGTCAGAACATTTTGGGGAGATGATGAAACTGTTGGACTTACTGATAAGCTTATCCTTTATATCCCCGTCGAATTACCTTATTACACAGTTAGTGTTTCGAGGACTTACATTATGTATAACAAAACGTAAATATTATAAATCCTTGTACATATCCTTCATCATTTGATGTATTATTTAGAAATATTCATGGACCATTTGAATCCTTTATCTCGCCTGTTGCTACTCAAGGCCCTCATCCCTGGGTTCAATTTGGTATCAATTCAGTACCAAAACGTTAAAGCCATTCAAATTGACTCAATTCTTGTCTCACATTTTCAGAAATTTTCACACCTGTCCCCAATTCCAAGATATGTATTTAAAACCCATCGGTCAAAATCAAATTGAATCTTTTTACCGTTTTGCTACTGAATTTAACGTGATAATTTCCGTTTTTACTGTGAATTACTGAGAAATCTTATCATTAAATTCCTGGGATGTGTTGTTAATTACTTCACGATTATTTTTCGCCGTGAGTGGCGGTTTATCAACGATCAATCGATTGAGGTTTTCCGGTTTGTATTTTGAATAGGACACGACAGATATTCAGGGTTGTTGAACTTTATAAAATTTACAGAAATCGGTTATTACGGATTCACTATTTTAATTTTTGTAACTGGAATGGTAAAGAGAAGGTGACAGTGACCACGAAAATTTGAGACAGGTGGAGGATTGTGGGGAAAAGTCACTCGGAAACCTTTTGTATTGACTTTTGTTTAATAAAAATCATCAAACTGTACGATGAGCTTGATTATTATTGCCTTTTGTGATGTCCGTAATTTTCTCTCCTTTTCCCTTTCCTTACACGATTTTTTTTCCTTTCCTTTTATCTAAGGGAGAGCATTTTTCCACCATCTTCAGTCGGTACTATTCACACTCCACCTGTAAGTTTTTTATGAATGCTTTTTGTTTTTTATTTGTTTAATTGAAATTTAGCCGACTGTTAAACGACCGGAAGGGGGAAGCCACATCTTGTGGAATTTCAATGGAAAAAATTATTCAATGTATTGAATATATACCACTAATGAATTTATATTTTTAAATGTGCGCGTTGTCCTAGCGGTAACGTGCTCGACTGGCACGCCGGCGGCCCGGGTTCAATCCCGGAATCATTCATTTTTTTTTTTAAATAATTCCAATTTTTTTTTTTGTTAATGGCAAATCAATCAAAATATCGTTTAAAAACTGAATATTTTAAAATGGAGAAGATATCCAGTGAAATTAAAAAATTAACAATTTTTTAAAACGATACTTTTGCAATATATATACTTCTAATGAAATTAAAATATTGTAATAATCCGTTATCCTAGCGGTAACGTGCTCGGCTAGCACGCCGACGGCCCGGGTTCGATCCCGCCGTCATTCATTTTTTTTTTTAAATAATTCCAATGTTTTCTTTTGTAAATGGCTAATCAATCGAAATATTGGTTAAAAACTGAATAGCTC